AGACATTTTCTTGAATTTTAACTTAGTGTCGCAGATAGCAGTGAAGTGAATGAGGCTATTTCTATTTGAGATTTCATGAAGAGAGTAATTGACTTATCAGGGAAATGTTCCAAAGGTTTTTTTCAAAAGCACATATCTTTTCCAGAGTTTTCAAAGTTCAACAATACCACTAGTGTCTAAAAAAGGATGATGAAATGGGGTATTTTCCGTGAACTTTACCATCCCTAGGAAATATACAAAATGAGTAAAAAATTCTGCATCAAATTTTTCGCTTTTTCTAAAAAACACAACTGTCATGTCATGTTTTTTATGCTTGTACTAAAATGCATGCCACTCACTTAAAAAGTGTTATTTTTTGACGATTTTTTTTTTCTTTGAAAGCCAACATACTCAACTACACCCCCGTACACTTGTTCGAGTGATGCAAAGTTTCGTTTGCAGTAGACTTTCTTGTAAACCGAAATTAAGGCGTTATGGACAAGTTTTCAGAAAATATCGATTTAATAGGCGAAGACCATTTTTAAAGAAATGTTTTTCAAAGATATCGAAAAGAGCGTACTTAAAAATACCAGAAAATGTTTCTCCCGTAACTTAAGCCTGCGTAGAAATTGTCGAAAAATACTCCAAATGTTAATGTATGTTGAGCTTGAAAGTTGAAGATTTTTTAACCTTTTTTCTTCGTTTTAGTACTTCGCAGCTTTGTAGCTTTAAAAAATCTTTTACACATGCGTTTGTAGAGAATTGAATGCTGAATCTTTTGGGAAAATATTCAGTTCAAATCAATGAAGAGCAAAAAGATATTGAGTAAATAATGAGACCGTCATTTTTCATGGGCCACCCGTTAATAATCGTAACTGGTGACTGGAATGCGAAAATTGGGAGTGATAATACACACTGGGAGTTAGTGATGGGCAGATATGGACATGGAGATAGAAATGAACGGGGCGATCGACTCCTAGAGTTTGCAGCACTACACAATCTATACATTTGCAATACACGATTTCAACAGAAAGCAAATAGAAAACGGACATGGGCATCACCAGATGGTGTGCACAAGAATATGATTGACCTAGTGCTGATCCAAAAGAGATGGAAATCATCAGTCACGAATTGTCGAACATTTCAAAGTGCAGATATTAGCTCAGACCATTCACTAGTGCTATGCAACATCAAGTTAAGATTGAAAAAGCGATGCATCAAGCAGCAACAGCATCACAGATCTGATGTAAGTCAGCTCAAGAGTCAGAAAGTGATAGAAGTCTATCAAACTAGACTAGTCAACAGACTCCAAGACATAGATGCACAGTGCAACCTAGAAGAACATGCAACGAAGGTCGAGGAAGCAATCAAAGATGCATTACAGGCAACGGTCACAACTACAAGAAGAGCCAAAAAACGTGGATTTCAGAACAAACCATCAACCTAGCCGATGAAAAACGTAAGATGAAACAAATAAAGAACGTTTCAGCAGAAAACGGCCAGCTATATAAAAACTTGTGTAACAAAGTCAAGAAATCGGCACGACAGGACAAAGATAACTGGATCCAAGATAAATGCGATGAAATTGAAAACGGACTAAAAATTAGAAATACTAGACAAGCCCACAGCTTAATAAAGACACTGAAAAAGAATTTTGTACCACGAATAACGATGATAAGAAATCAAGATGGTACAATGCAACTGTCAAAAGAGGGCGCGAAACAACGATGCACACAGTACTGCAGCGCGCTATATAAGGACGAAGGCGGAGGAGACGAGATGGTGAAGGAACTCGAAGATATCTTCCCTTCATACAAAGAAGATCCTCAAGACATCCTATATTCGGAGGTAGAAGAAGCAATTCGGACACTAAAATTAAACAAAAGTCCGGGTTCATATTGTATCACAGCTGAGATGATTCAAGCTGGAGGTGAAAAGCTTACGCACGAAATCCACTCACTAGGTAACAAAACATGGCATGAGGGAGTAATACCAGAAGAACGGGGAAAATCAATCCTCATACCAATACCAAAGAAAGGAGATCTCAGCGAATGTGCAAACTACCGAACAATCTCACGCATAAGCCATACAGGAAAAATCCTACTGACAGTACTGTTGAACAAACTCAAACGCTATCTGGATCCATACTTGTCGGAAGAATAAGCAGGATTCAAACAGGACAGAAGTACTGTCCACCAAATTCTAGTACGCAGGTTGCTTGCAGGAAAAGCAAAAAGACAAGAAAGAAAGATATATAACTGCTTCATCGACTTCCAAAAAGCTTTTGACACAATAAAACACAAAATTATATGGGTTGTTCTCAAGTCATACGGAGTCGAAAACAAAATGATCACACTGCTAACACACACACATATAAAAGCACAATCAGCCGTTCGAGTAGAAAAGGAAACAGGAGAATGGTCCCAAACAAGTGTTGGAAGTAGACAAGGAGATCTTTTGTCACCACTACTGTTCATTACATATCTCGAACGAGTAATGGACAAAGCAATGCAGATAAACCGAGGAATAAATATCAGTGGAACACTAGTGAACAACCTACGGTTCGCCGATGATATTGATGTCCTAGAAGAAGATTGTGACTCACTTCATCAACAAATAGAACAATTAAGAGTAGCAACCGAAAAAGTAGGACTACTCATGAATACAAAGAAAACAAAAATACTTGTATTTGGTGACAGAAATATCGAAAAACATGTTCAAATAGCGGGAGACATAATCGAAAATGTAGAACAGTTCGAGTATCTTGGTAGTGTCTACTCACATGGAATAACAACTGTAGCGATGAAATCAAGAGAAGAATAGGCAAATCAATAGGGGCAATGGCTGCACTAAAACGTATATGGAATAGCAAGAAAATAAAATAAGAATCCTAACAACATGTGTTTTCAGTGTGCTATTATACGCATCAGAGATATGAACACTGAAAGAAGCTAATACAAAGAAACTATTGGCATTCGAAATAAAATGCTATTGAAGGATATTAAGAGAGAGTCCATCACTCCATCGAGAAACCGAAGCACTCGATAAAATTTAGATTTTTGATTTGATATTTCCATCGTGTTCAGCATCATCTAAAGTCTGTAAATCCAAATTTTTATTGCATTTGGTTAATCTGGTGAAAAGTTAGATCAATTTTACCGCCGACGACTAACAATATTTTTTGAAAAAAAGATCAAAAATGACTAGTATAAACTTGAAATATTTTAGCCGGCAGAAGATTAATGAAATTTTTAGTGTAATATACCAAAAGATAGAACGTGAAAAGCTGAACAAAATGGTATATTTTTATCTTATTTTCCAATGCGCAAAACTCGTTTTATTGGTCAAATATTATCAATGACTGGCTATTTTTCAAGTAAAAAATGTGTGAATTCTTTGCATTGTTTCATTTGCCATCCAGTCATTAAATGCGGGCCTAGAGATTTTTTTGTCCTATGTTGTGCAGAGTTTTCTCCTTTACAAAATGATTAAGAGAAAGTTCAAAAAAGAATGGTATATTCGGGGTGAAAAGAGGCTCAGAACGTGAGCCACTGAGAGAACATTTTTAAGAGAAAGGAGGAGGGCGGATAAGGCCGTTTTGCGGCCCCTCTCATATTTGAGTTATTTCTATCAATCATTAATCAGGGATCGTTCTCGATCACGTTTTTCAACCTTGTTTCCAGAAAATCGACATTGACGATTTTTTTGACTGGGGTACCCATAAGCATCATCGAAAACAGAATTTGTTTTATCACAAGCCAAAGTCAGATGTACAGGTGGGGCAAAAAATCCTGGGACACTGAAGAATTTAGTCTCATTGTTCAAAATCTCATTCGAATAAAATTTCGGTGCATAACGAAAACATTATTCGTTAAGCTTTCAGACTATAAGACATAGTCTTGAAACTTTGTTTCAAATAGGAAAAAGCAAATAAAATAAAAATTGTCTAGCGGCAAAAAGTCCTGGGACATTGTCACTAGCTACAAATGTTGGTCTGATATCTCAGTCATTTTAAGACATAAGACTGAAAATTTGTGAACATATATCGCATGATCGGCATGAATCATTAACACTAATCCGCGCTATAGATATTTAGTTGGCCAGGAGTTATAACGAATAGTAGCTTATGTTATTGCACCTCTTATAACTTCAGAACCGGAGATTGTTAAGAGCCGGAAAACCAACCGTTATGTAGCCCTAGTAGGTACCTATCCACGAAAGAAATGTTATAAAGGTTGATTGAACAATTTACAAAATGCGATAATACCTTTTATAAACGATTTTGAATGAAACAAGTTTTCGAGACAAATACGAAAGCGATTACAACAAACTAATGTGAAATTCTCACAGAATATAGGGTAACACCAGAGTAGTCTTTCTTCCAGTTTGCAAGAAGAAAATACTTCATAAAAGGAAAGAGGAACTTCGAATGTCATAGTTCAATTGAGTCCTGTGATGCAAGATTTCGATGGTTACTTTCAAATTACAAGTTAATGCTGAGTAACTTCTGTTCTTTTTGTTTTTTATATCAAGAACAAAAGTTCCACAATTGTGACTGGTAATTTAGAAGTTAATCAATAATGATGTTTGTTATATGTGCAAACTTTATATCGATAGGATACTGAAAACTGAGATCCATTTTTCAATATCCCAGAACTTTTTTGTCGGACCTGTATATTGTGTTCAAATGTCTTGTGCATGGGTGTCCCGAGCAGGAGGTGACTTCCTCAGTAATCGGAAATAGTTTTGCTATCCTGATTGAAAGATCAGGTTTCTGATACGATAAGGAGAGCATAATAGCTTCTTCTCGAAAATTCGGATTGAAGTTATTGTTCTCAACAAAAATAATTCTATAAAAATATCAAAAGTTTTTCCCTTTCGCGAAACTTTAACAATTGTGTTAGTATGGTCAACTTAAAAGATCCCTGGAGGTTTAGCCAACAGCTTCGTTTTGAAACAGTCATTGGAAGCGTGAACATTTCGGTTGCAGTCGTATTGAATAGTGTTTTCTGAATTGAATCCGGAAATTTTTTTTCAAATGCGAAAAGTTATTCTATTCACCAAAATTTAACGACTACATGAACGGCGTAAGGAGTTGTAGGAATCCCAAGACTATTTGCGGAAATTTAGTTTCTTTTAAAAGAGCTTCATTTTGTAGAACTCACATATATTTTCGAAGAAAATGGTGAGTGGAAGTTTAAAGGCGAGATTTTTGAGGCTCCCCACCCCTCCTCCCCATTACAGACATTAATGAGTTTAAAATTGTGCTAATTAGGAGCTTGACTAATTAGGCTGCTATTTCTTCCTTTTTTAATTACAGACTACATGAAAAACGCAATGGTTACCCATTACAGACCATAGTAACTAGCTTAGGGTACCATTACAGACTGTAGAAATTAGTATTTGCCATTGTTAAATATACCAGCTAATAATTAATACTCGATGGCAGACATAAGCAAATAGGCAACGAGCTAATTATAGGTTTTGGAAATCAGGATAGATTTTTCAGATGAGCTATTTTGAATTATTTTAGTAAGCCGAAGGGATATATATGTGTGTTCCACATTTTAGCCCCAAAGGGGCTGCGCTAACAAGCTTTTTTTGAGCAAACGCCGTCAAGATGGACACCTGGAATATTTGATTAGTTTTTTTTTATTGAAATTGTTTTTCTCGAAGAGCCTACAAAAGGAACAGAATATTTAGAAATCTGCAAAAAAGATTTTCACTTCACGGCAAATTATGCTGAGTTTCGTACGGTTTTATGGAGCTGTTTCGAAGTTCGACTTTTTTTGCATCGGACTTGGTTCAATGGAATAAAGCTTTTCCTGCATTGTAAACTGGAGAAAAAATGAGCACTAGTGTCGATGTAAAAGCTGTTTGAGTCTCAATGTTGGCAATATCAGGATACTGCTGTACTTGTCATAGTTTGTGATTCAAGACCGAACAAAGAGAACTGAGTTTTATAGCTCTTAATGATATTTCTTTTTATCCGCTTTTTTGATGATTTACTAGAATTGAGAAACGCATTTCCTTGATGGTTCGATAAAAGTTTGACCGTAGAATTTCGGCTAGAGGAACCCGATAAGCCTCATTTAGATTCAAAACGCTCCACCGCCCTTGTGAGGGTGACAGTTTTTCTTGAAATATAAATTTTCATAATGATTATAGTCGTTCTACTATTTAATTGAATAACATGTATATCTGCCACAGAAAAAAGTTTCGATAATTAAAATTGTAGAGAATCTGCTCGATCTTGACGTTTCAAACTGTGCCGCCGGTACAAAGTAAAGTGTCTATTTTAGTACACTCCATATTTTCTCTCTTGAAATGTTTCTACATCAATATTACTGAATTTTGAGTGGCATCGGTTCAACAAAGTCAAGGCACCCATGCCTTCGCCGGGCACTCTGCAACCACACTCTCACTGATTAGACATACATCATTTATTTTTAAAAGGATAAAATAATGACAAAGAGATTTCACGAACATATATACAAATTCTAGTTTTGATTCTCCGAACGTAAAACCGTATGTTTTCTTTCATTTATTTTTTGATAATCTTGAACTCCATGATATGACCGTAAAACTCGCTGTTCTGATGAATTCAGTGTTTCTTGTTTTTTATATTTCACACGACGATTTTGAAACCAAATCTATCATATATTTTTCAGAAAAAACAACAACAACCCGATAAGAAAATATTCTTACTTTCACTTGTTTTTCTGTTAGACCAAGATAGGTCGCTATTTCAATTCGATGCAAACGTGATAAATACATATTTGAAGAAAATTCTCGTTCTAATTCAAGTAATTGTACACTTGTAAACGCTGTACGTATACGTTTTAAATCTAACGATGATGAATTAATTGCTTTTGAACATTTTTGTACATTATTCGTATGAAATACAGCATAATGTGGACTTGATGGTAATGATGCTTTTGCTATTAAATATTCAATAGAAAACGACTTACTATCGGTTAACATTGTGAACAAATGTTATCAATAATCATTATTTCACATGATCAAGACTTTATCATAGAAAATATAATTGACTCCTGAAGTGTTGATGAATGTGAAACAGATAAGAACAAATCTACCTTTGTTTTATCTCTTGAGAATATATGATGTCGTTAATAGTATACTGATGTATGAAAAAAAAGTAAGAATAATGTTAAAAAGTCATTTGCGATCGTCTAGCTTTCGTTGACAATCCATTCGGATCGTACGCGGTTTTAATATCATGTTAAAATGTAATTTTTATTACTATGTTAGAAAATAGTAAAGAAACAAAGAATGACAGTTTCATTTTCAATTAACTTATTCCCTTTGGAGAATCATATAATATGGGCTAGTCACCTGTCATATTCAACCTATTTAGTTTTGACAAACGGTCCCTTGTTTTCTCACATTAGTTAAATGTTCGAATCATTGTAAATTATTTAGATTACTTCTACTCAGCATTTTACTTATAACTTTATATTTTTAATTTTCGAAAAGATCCCATTAAAATGTATGAACACTCTAGATGTTTCTTCTTCTAGTAGAAAATATTGCGAGGTCGCTAGTCAATGATGTTTCCAAGATTTATAAATAATATTATTGGCTTGCATAATTCAATTTGATATACATTGGATTCAATACAAGGATTTTTTTCTTCGTTCATTAAAGAATTTTCTTACTTCGAATAATGGCCAAAATACTTAGACGTCATCCATCGAATTCAACAAGTGAAGATGATGACGATGGAACGGATTGTCCATTAAGTGGTGCTGAAGCATTAGCAGCATGTAAAGAATTTGCTTCAGTAACAAATACAGATTCAGGTTTAGCTATGATGATGCTACAACAAAATGGATGGGATTTACAACGTGCTATAAGTGTTTATCAAGGTTTACAAAATAAATCCAAATCAACACGTCTAAAAACTACGCCTAAGACTTCGTTAGTAAAATTTTTGGAGTATGGAAATTTAATCTTATTTTTTACAGTGAATCAGATTCAAAACGAATGAAATCTAAAGAAGCCACAACTACGTCAGAATTCAATGATGATAAGACGAAAGTGAAATCACGTTTCAAGCTTCTTTCATGGAACATTGATGGACTTGATGAACAAATAAATACAACGGAAACACGAATATATGGAGTTATTGATGTTATTAAACGGTATAGATTTTTGCTTTCGAAAATTCTTATTTTAAATGGTTTTGTTTTACTGTAGAGAAGAACCAGATGCTGTTTTTCTTCAAGAAGTGATTCCAAAAGCTATTGATTTAATCCGTAGCCTTTTACCTGAATATGATTCGTATGCTGGTGAGAGTTCATGTTAATTTCTATTAAAATCTTAATGGATTTATTCTGTTAGGAAATGCCAAAGGTTATTTTGTAGTTATTTTAACGCGTCGTGAATTATTTAACGTAGAAAATTTTGAAATTATAACATATCCAGGAACGAACATGGAACGAACTCTTTTAATAGTTCATGTAAATATTCATTTGTGCTTGAATGCATTCTTACTCGGATATCTATTTTTCAATAGGCAATGTATAAAAATTCAATTGAAATCGATTTAATGACAACTCATCATGAAAGTGGCACAGAAGAAATATCAAGTCGAGAACGTATCGAACAGTTAAAATTCTGCTTTAAGTATATGCTTGATGCTCCATCAAATCGAATTATTTTATTTGGCGGTGACTTGAATATACGTGAGAAAGAGGTAGATCGTTTCGATTTTTTTTCTACTAACCTAATTTCATTGAATTTTAGCTTCAAAAAATTGGTGGTATTCCATCGGGTATTGTTGATCTTTGGATTGAAACCGGCAAACGTCGAGAATGTGCATATACATGGGATATGAATCGAAATACAAATGTTTATTATCCATCTGATACTTTTCGTCCTCGAGCACGTTTCGATCGTCTTTATTTTCGTTCGTCAAATGACAACACAGTGAAATTTAAACCAGTCTATTTCGAACTTGAAGGTCTTGAAAAATTACCATCCATAAAACGCTATTGTTCGGATCATTGGGCTATACAAGCTTATTTTGATATTTTATGAGATATGTTCGTTCAATTAAAAACAAAAATTATTTTCTCTTGTATTGATACTTTTTATAAAAATGAATGAAAAATATACAAATGAATAGCATTTGAAATCGTACACAGAGTTTCTGTGTTTTCCTATTGGAGATCATAAAATCGGAAAAATTTTACTCAATACTTTTGTCCTTTCTAAGAAAACAATGATGAATCTCTACGATATTTCAGTAACTTTTCATTCTTTAAAATTCAGACATCTGACTGAAACCGTCAGAAAAATACGCTCCAGTGAGCGTGTCTGATCATGAATAAACTATTAACTATTCATCAGCTACAGACAGAATATTTCTCATAGAAATATAATAATAGAGATTTTGGACATGATATACTGTCTGCATATTTTACACTATTCCAGAATAACCAAATTGCATGATAATCCTTTTTGACTGCCTGACACTTATATAGAGTCATAAAAAGTTTCGTATTTACAAGCGTGAACATAGTTTCAAATGCTCATTATCAGTTTTTCAACAGCGTTAAATGATGCATTGTCGACAATAGAGTGTCGCCAAACTTTAGCTTATAACACTTCACTGCGGACTTGCTGAAGTCTTGCATAATAAATTTCATGCTAGTGATTAACTATGCGAGAAATGAAGACGATGACTTTTTGCTCTCTCTCTCTCTCTCTATATATATATATATATATATATGTTGTGGTCAAAATTCTAAATTCGATTTTCACTAGACGAAATCGGAAATTCCTTTTGATGAACAAAATAAACTAAAGAAAAAAACATAAAGAAGCAACACTTTGTTTAGTGAAAATTCAAATTAGAATTTTGCCCGCAACATATATATATATATATATATATATATATAATTACTTCCAGGCTTATCTAATAAACACTTATTCAACTATTTTACTGCTTTTATTTTAAATTTTCGACACACATGCCATGGCTTCAGTGCTGCTTTTTATCAATATTCTGACATCTATTTAGGCTTCTATTGTTATGGCACTGGGCTAAAAGCAGTTCAACAGCATTAGTTCACAGTTTTAATAATTAAATATAAGATATTCTATTTTAAATCTTAATGAGGATGGATTAACTTTCTTGTTACAGGATGTAGATTGATGAAAGAATATGATCGAGCTTGAGTTCTTGAAATATTTTATATCAAAAGATCAATCTCATCGTACTGGAGACTTATTGAAAGCCCTCTGATTTTGGCAATGAAACAATTACTAGATCTACAAAATACGCCGTCATATAACAACTCTTAAACTAATTAACTCGTAATTAAAATATTATTTTAGTCGAAAATCTCTCCTAGACTTGTTTCATCTTTGTTCTCAAGCACGATCTAAAATATCGCTATTTTAAGCATTGAATATCATGAGAGAACCAACGAGAATAAAATTCATTCTCAGATTTCCAAAAGAAAAAAATCAAATCCGTCGCTGTATTTCAAGGTCAAATTTGTTTTTCATAGAATTGATTCTCGTTTCTTGCTAATTATATTTAATTGTTTCAAATTATTCGCATAATTAAAATTTATAATTTGTTGATTAAACAAGAAATTATAATACTACGATGATTTTTTTTTGTCGCTTCTTTTTCCTAGAAAGAAAAACGCATCAAGTTAAGATTCACCTGGTCGGTAACCTATGACGAGAGCAGCAAAGAAAAATAAGATTAGAGTTTAAAGTAGGCCATACCTTTGTCAAGAAATGACGATGAAGAGGCGTGCGACGACGATGTTCATTCGTGCAAATGTAATCTGTTTCATGAGAAATGGAAAAGTAGTGTAAGAAAAAGAAAAAGTTAAAGGAAGAAAAATGTTGAGAGCAATGATGTTGAAAGAGATGTGTTAGTCGAAGAAAAAAAGACACAGGAAGAAGATTATCACTAGTGGAGATTTTGATATAGAAGAAGAAAAATACACCATCTATTGCGCGTTTGAGAGGAGAAGAAGAGAGAAAAAACGAACAGTAAATCGATATTAACTTCTAGAAAGTATGATCGACTAAACAAAAAAGAAGAACAATGTTTGCTGAACGTTGGATATGTTTTTGTTGTCCTCACGCACACAAGCTTCAACGAAGTATTGTACCTGTTGAGCAAGTACCATCAAAGAAATCTTCAAAGAGTCGAGTGAAAAAGAAATCAGACATCAGTAAGTTTGCTGCGCTGTTTTTTTCTCTTAACTAAATAAAATTCGGGATCCGTTTCTTAGCTTTATCTTCTGTAATTATTATTCAATCTTGGTTCCGACGGCGGCAGGCCCTCTTTGAAATACGTCGAAAAGCTGCATGGACTATCTACCAAAATATTGAATATGCAGGCGAACAAGACCAACTTAAAGTAACCATTAAGTGTTTTCTTGTGAGCTTGTTTTTTGTAGATTTTTTCATTTAATTAGCTTTATAATTTTTTCTTGGATCTAATGCAAGCCGTAGCCAAAGATCCACGTGAAGCACTTGTTATTGCTAAAGTACTGCGTCGTAGTTCGAGCCTATCAGCAACCGGTAATATAAGTATTTTGTAGATTCAAGAAAACATGCAAACTATATTTTCCTCTTTTCTAGCTGAAGAACTCGAACTAACCGAATCAACATCACCAGAAACGGTCAATATTGAACCATCGTATAAAGGTTTACATGTGCAACTTCCAATTAATAAAGGGCATTTTGAAGCGCTGATACTTGGTTTTCAACGCGGAGAGGTATTGTAAAAAATTGAGAAAAAATCTTTGTTTTCGTATAAGATCAAGTCGAGATTTACATAATTAATATGTTTTTATTTTATTGTTTTGCTTTCAAGAGTCTTCATGCTCGTTATGTTCTATTAATATTACATGAAGTACGACGTATTCTTAAACGTTTACCAAACATAAATGTTGTTTCTACACATCAATCGACTTGTGTTACAGTGATCGGTGATCTACATGGAAATCTATCTGATTTATTGCTTATTTTTCATAAGGTAGTTTAATTTCAATTTTTCCACTATCTATATTTTTGATTTATCAATTTTCTTTTTCCAGAATGGTTTACCGTCCAATGAAAACCCGTATATATTTAATGGTGATATAGTCGATCGAGGTTCTCAAAGTATAGAATTATTCATTTTAATAAGCGTAGCATTTATTGTCTATCCTACCAATGTTTATCTAAATCGGGGTAATCATGAAGATCATGTATTAAATTTACGGTAAATAAACTATTCTTTCTTACTGTGAAAAATAATTAATCAATGTGTTAGAATAAAATTAAGTGCAAAAATCAAAGCAAAATTCTTATTCGTCTGAATAAATCTATTGGTGAATAGATAGATATAAGTGATCTTAGTTTGACAGCATTTATAGAAACCAATTTCCTGAACTTTGCCATTTTTATTTTAGTAACTTCCTTCGAAAAGTGTTATTTTTCATTGAACTTCGAATTTACGCTATTCAACTCATTGAATCACTAATTCATTTCTCATGATGACATCAACTACAAATTTTCTTTTCTCTCTTCTACTTAGGCACAGTCATATAGAGAAAATTCATTACGGTACTTTGCTTTTGAGTATTATCATGACAAAAATGCAATTGATTGAAACCAAATATTTTCTACTTTTATGTTGCTCAACACAGGGTTTGAACGCAACGACGTACTCTTGACGCTTATCTAATTTACAGTGAGATAAATGAAGCGATAAGTAACTAAATATATGAACTGTTGATACAAAAAAATGTAATAAAACATCTTCAGTAGTGACTGTAATCTCACTAATATATGTTTCTCAATCTAAAACAAAAATAAGAATAGTTTCTGTCGTACAGTCCAAATTTACATGGCATAAATCATAATAGGAAGTTGGAGTACGCTATCTCCGCCACAATCAGCTGAAGAGAACTTCTCTCGTCAATAGGTATTTAACAAGAAAATATTTCAAAGTATATAGAACACGTTGAGTACATTAGAAAAGAGCAATAAGTTAAAATTTTGTGTTTTTGTTAATTAATTTTGCATTCGAACACATTAATTTATTACCGGTTGGTGAAATCACTTTTTCAAGCGTTAAAATAATTCTATTTCACAGAGACTAACCTCCTCATGATATTTTGCTATTCCGAAGAATCTATGATTCTCTGCCAGTGAAATAATTAATATTTATTCAAAGGTATGGCTTTATGAAAGAAATTCTTCGTAAATATAAATCGCATGCTACAAAACTATTACACTTATTCGAAAATATCTACAGGTGGCTGCCTGTTGCAAGTCTTATTGATGATCATATATTTGTTACACATGGTGGAATTAGTGATATAACAGATATGACTAAAATCAATCGAATTCAACGAAGTCAAGTTTGTATTTAAAAAAAGAAATTTGTTTTTTGTTCTCATTGAAAAAAAGGAATTTTGTTCTCGCTATAGTATGTGTCAATCTTAAGTCCAAGTTTTGTTATTCCGGAAACAGATGAACAAGTACAAATCAATAGTTTATCAAATGACCAATTACTTGAATGGCGACAAATGCTTGATTTGTTGTGGAGTGATCCCAAACAAGAAAACGGTTGTGAACCAAATACATATCGAGGCGGCGGATGCTATTGGGGTCCAGATATAACAGATCAAGTGTTGAAGAAGCATAATTGGAGTTTAATTATTCGATCGCATGAATGTAAAGAAGAAGGTTTTGACTATTGTCATGGCAAAAAGGTTGGGCTTTTTTGTTTTGAAATAATTTACATTTATTCTTGCGAATTAATCTCAAGGTGCTAACAATCTTTTCGGCATCAAATTATTATGCAGCGGGCAGTAATCGAGGTGCTTACGTTAAAATATTTAAAAATCAACCATTAGCAATTGTGCAATTTCTAGCAACGAAAAATACAGTTAAACCGTTAACACTGTGGGAAAGGTTTGTTGAGAAGTACGGAACTGTTTTACTAATGTTTTATTTTAAAATAGAGTCTCGCATGTGGAAGAACAAGCTCTTAGAAATCTTATGGAAAAATTCAGCGCAAATCAAAGTCGACTTATGAAAGAATTTCGACTCAAAGATCCTCACCAATCGGGTAAGCATAATTATGTGTTCCTTAGAATTCACAGTAAGACATTGTTAAAAAATAGAACATAAATATGCTGTATTCGTTTCCGGCTCTTTCATTACTTATATCAAAAGGATGAAACCGACGTATGTAGTAATTATCCTTTTGAGAGTTCAGCAATAAATAATGATGTTTCGACCGTTGAGCTTTTTTATTAAATATAAAAGACGAAAGTTCACATTTATAACATATATAGTTAGAATGTTGTTTCGAGTTAAAAATTAGTTTGAAATCTTTCTGATGATGTAATGAGGAAATAGAAATTGTACGTTTTTTCGCGAAATGCATTTCATCCTTTTTGTACATTTGAGTTGACTATCAAGGCATGAGTGAAGCTCCGTGGCTATGCGCTTTCACTCGATGATATTTATTTTTACAAATTATGCTTGTTGCAGACGCGTGACGTTAGCAGTGAAAAACAAATAATGTTCAAGTATACAAGTTGAACATTTTTGGTTTTGATAGGACGTTTAGTTGATGGAAAAAAAATCGTGGGTCGAGTATCGGACGCGATTAAGCAATTGTAAAGTGCAGTATCTTGAATCCAAATACGGGAAAAAATGTATTCGTGTAAAACATAAGTATACAATGAAGTATTTCGTGTCATGATAGTTAAACTGTATTAGCTGCTTTAGGGAATAATGAATCATAAAACTCTGCGTCGGAGTTTTCTCGAGGGTAAACTTTGCGTTTTATTGACTACTGGCTGAAGCCCATGAGTATTATGTCATTCAGATTGTTTTGAAGGCATCATCTTAAATACATTTAATAATAAGTAGTTATGAGTCTATCTCAAATTGATTTTTAAGAACAATCATATTTAAAAGTATTCAGTTGGGAAATCTCTTTCGAATAAAAATTCCTACGAACTTTTTTTCCCGAATTTTGCGAAGGGACGTCAGAAAAAATATTTGTTGTCCTGAGATTTCGGCATGCATGAGGATCTATAATATATCCTCACTCATATTTCAGAATAGAATGGTATGACTGCTAAGTTGAAGAATGAAAACGATCCGATAGTATACACCTAAAAATACTATAATCAGCTAATCCTGCCAGGCAATAGTTTCCGATTTCGTAGTTGAAGATTTTTCTTTTAAAAATACTTGCTCTGTAACTATAAAACGAGATGGTGTTGTGTAATATGGTTGACATTCGAATAGACCGTTGTTAAATAGAACAGGCACAGTTTTTTTTCCGTTGAATGATGGAGAAAATGTTTATAATTTAAATTCTACTATTAGGAACAAAAACCAAATCGAATTCTATTATTTTATTTAGGTCGCATTGCTATTAACGAGTGGTGTGACATAGTAACACATGTCCTTGAACTACAATTACCATGGCGAACATTAAAATCACGTCTTGTCGACATCGATAGCAACGGATTAATTGTTTATGAATCATCTTTTCGTTCACGTGAATTACAATGTTGTATAAATTCTCAAGTCATTAATGTAAACATAGCAAATCTATTTATTGCTTTAATCGCTCCTTTTCTTTCTTTCTTTCTTTCTCTAGAGACGACAAAGTCTTTGCCAAACCATTTATCGAAATAAAGATTTACTTGAAACAGTCTTTCGAGCGATCGATAAAGATAATTCAGGTTAGAATAGAAGTTTTTGTTTTTTTGACAGGCGACAATTTTCACTGATTTGTATAGGTGTTATTTCCATGCAAGAATTCACTGATGTATGTGTATTTCTTGGTAATCACAATGGTTCGAAATTCGACGAAAAGCAAATGACGGATTTAGCAAAAAGCATTGATCTTGATAAGAATGGTGTTATTGATTTTAATGAATTTCTTGAAGCATTTCGTATTGTTGACATTGGTCTTCGTACTTCAAACCCTACTACATAACAATTCTATTTATTTTCAATTTTTTTGTTTTTCTTCTTTTATTTACTACAATTGGCGACCTGATTGATCCAAATCGTCCATAAGTAGAAAGGCACTAAATAGGGGGTGGGGAACAGATAGCAAGATAATTAGATGGAGTAGATCCATACGTCGCAGCGCTTGTCAGGGTTCCAGCGAAAAAAATATTTGCAAAGGACGTCCCCCTCGGGATTTATCAGGGCACTGCGATGTACGAGTAGATCATATTCATTAGTTCATGTTACCATGGCAAACAAGCAAACAAGCAGAAGGCTAAAGATTAAAAAAAGAAGGAAAAAGCGAAACTATGATGGGAACATGTTGATTACAATAACACGTAAACATGAATGAGTGTGACCAGAAAAAATTAAATATTTAAAAATAAATGCCATTTATTCCATCAGAAGAAAAAAAAATGATATCTATCATTTTCTTCTAATTTTAAATTTAATTACGAGATGAAGATGAAAAGAAAAGAAAGAAGAAGAAAACATAATTATGAATAAAGAAACGAAACTAAAATCAGAAAGTATCTGGAAAGTCAGCAAATATTGTGCCTCATCCAAGTTGCTTTTGTAGCCAAGCTTCTCTGAAAGAATTTAGGTTAGCCTGTTCCAATAATGATTCGCCATCTATATTTTCTGCAGGTGCAACGAAGTAATTAGTCCAGTATTTTAGACAACGATCTTCTAATGATATTTCATTCGAAGCAAATGAGGGGAAAAAACTATCCCACCATTGTAGACAAAAAAGAACATGTTTTAAGCAAGTGTAGTAAAAATGTTTAAGATCTTGTTGTTGTTTATTCGCGAACAACGGGAACAAGGGAAAGAACCACGTGAATAAGGGAGAATATATAAGAGAAACCGAGTTTTTCTTAAAGAGGGCGAAGTAGATCCTGAGATACGAATTGAATTTATCATTCCAATTCGTTGTCTAATTTTTTAAATACTTGTATTGATAAGTGGACCGAAGGCTAGTTTTGCAGATATCCAGTAGCCGAGATATTTAAACTCATTAGCCCATTGTATTTTGTTATCGCCCGTATAGATTTCGAATTTCGGAGAGCTGATTGCTCTCGCCGACCATAGGCCTTCGGTCTTTGCGTAGTTGATGGGCTGTGCGGTTAGTGGGGAGTAGAACTCTAAGTTATCAAAGAACCGATGTAATTTATTTTATACGTCTAGGCATTGAGCTGAGTATTTCATTCCAATACTCCCGGTGACAATTGCTGCCAGATAGTCGGAAAAAAAAGTGATTTGAGCAGAAACTGAGAAAATCACACATACCGGCGTGATATGCGATGAATAACGTGGATGATTCGCATGTTTCAATTCGATTAGAATTTCATTTAATTCAATAGTACGTATAGCTAAAATACGTTCCACAATTAAAAATTGCGAATTTCAACGTGTAACAACGGCACGGGGTATTGATAAATTGATCACTTCCAATTTTTCTGCAAATTTTGTGCTTGTATGTGACAGTTTTGCAATTGCAGACACTTTTTCTAATGAAGATAAAATTGATTTTGTTTCTTTTAATTCATCCCTTACAGCCAATTGTATCGTGGGGGCAAAACAAGGAATTCGAAATACTTCATTGTGGTCTAATAAACGACGAAATGAATCTAGAATAAGAAATTCTTGTGTTAATGCATCATTATCAGTAGTATAATAAGGTGTTGTTGAACACAAGTTTGGCAAGTACTCATATTCATCACTGACCGTTCCGTCATTTGAATTAGCATCACTATCTTCATCACTCATGTTATCATTATCATTTTTGTCAAAATAGTGTACAAAACCTGGAATAACAAAATCTTTAAATGCATGCATATTGTTTGCACTACTATCAGCAACTAAACGAATAACCTTGTGCTTAAATACCAAATGCATTGATAGTTTCTTCGTGTTTCTGAAGTAGCAATGAACCCGAATGACTACCCCATAACGGAACGAAACCTAAAACATATGACTCGAAACAGCCATTAGCAATGGCGTGCCCTAAGAACGACAAAAAATATAAATTATTCCTGAAACGAAAACAAGCCATACCACTTATAGCGAAAAATGACGGTAACCTTCTATCGTTCCAAGTGTCTAAGGCTAATGATAGAAATGTAGCAGATGAACAAAATGCTTTTAATCGATCATGCATGTTTTCATATAATGAAGGAATCGTGGTTCGATATTTAACGTTCGACGACTTGTCATGCTAAACTTCGGATCTAGTTTTCATGAAATTAATAAATGCTGACCGTTCAACAATTGATAATGGTAAGCCCAATTTAATAATTAATTTGTTTACGGTGGCCGTCGATAGTTCAGTTTGTCGAGGATGAGTTGTATGATATGCTTGATATTTTTTGCAAAAATGCTCTGATATTTTATTCTTTTGAGTCACTGAAGACATAACTTTTAATTCATTTAATTCCTGTAGCCATAGCTTCAAAGTTTGTTTATGATAATCACGAGCATATCGATTGAAATTTGAAGTAACATCCAATGCGGCGAAAACTCTTTTAGGTGTTTCACATGATAAACCTTCAACTGGTCATCTCTTCTTTTCTTTATCATATCGGGCATTTTTAAAAAATTTGTCACGAGCAGTTCTAGGCGTATTGGACGACGAAGACGTGGAAACAACTGCTTCTTCAGTAATTGAAGGTGCTACTGTTATTTGAACTTCATTTGGAGATGAGTAAAAATTGTTGCAAGAGTTGTATCCTGATTCCATATTAAAATTTAACTTTATGTTACTAAATTAATTATCGACTTAGTTATTGGTAAAACAAAGAAATCAACGTATTCGAAATCCTTCATTTTATTCCAAGGTAAATTCACTCTGCGAAAATATTTCTGCATTTTTGATTGTATTTTATTGCTTTATTACTAATTGGAAACCAAAACTTCAGTGCATAAGCACCTATATGTCTATACGTTTTTTGACTTGATCTTAAAAAACAAGTCAAGTCATGACTTGACTTGCCCATCTCTGGATAGATGGATAGATAGAGAGAGAGAAGAGAGAAGAATTTTTTTCTCGCTCTTTTTTATATGTGTACCAAGAAATAGATATAGGTAGAAAAATACGTCCTACCTGGAGCGTGAAAGTTTGGAAGTGGTTTATTTTCAATATTTTTTTGTATTTCTTGGAAAGAAAATATGCCTACCATTTATTCTTTCTTCTAATTATTGGTTTTAAAGGACGTCTATCAAAAGTTTTCATCAGCGTAAAAACCAAATAGCCGTAGGAATATCGTCTCCCTCACGCGAATCATCACCGCGGCAAATTTATATAAATAATCTCTCGTTCTATGATATGAACTATGTTGTCAGTTCATTTCTGAAGGCTTCACTAAAGCAAATATTGAATGAAATCTCCTTCCAATGATTAATGACAGCAACTACACTGAGTTTTATATTTTAATCCTGTGGGGATTATGCCAAGTGGCTTTTGATTATTGAACTGTTAACTGTAGACGTAATGAGTTTTTCAAGTCGATTGATCCTTATGATAAAACTCACAACAGATATTTTCCTATTGATCAACTAGTTGGACTTTGAAATCGGCAGGATTTTATTGTGAAGGTAAAGCTGAAATTTTAATATAAAATCATAATTTAATATTGTAAGTGACTTGATCTTATCAAAGAGATTAAAATCTATAGAAAACTTTATTTCAACATATTCTCAAAAGGGTGAATCCATGGAGACCCATCCACTTTTTGGAAAAGTTTTTTTTTGATTTTTTTCAATCGAAACTTCCTGTATGCTGTAGGAAACATTTTTGATAAAAAACAAATATGACTCTGCTAGTGGAAAATATCGAGATCTGGTTGATTATTTCCGAACGACTATGGTAAATTGTCAGACAAAGGGAAAACACGTGAAACTTTTCTAAAATATGTTTTTCAGAATTTTTTCATGCTGAAAAATATGAAAGGTGTTTAGAAATACTTTAGATGAAAAACAAATTAGACCATTCCTATTGAAAGTCTCGAGTGCTGGGTCATTTCGTCTGAAAATAACGATAATTGGCGTTTGTCATGCTGAGTGACAGGAATGAATTTATTTGAAGGGTTTTCATTAGACTAGTGATAAAGATAATGATGTTCAGCATGATATGTCGCTGTTACAATAGATGACCTCAGATGCTTGATGACATTGAATTTACCGCAAACCATCGGCTTGAGACTGAAAGAATCTGTCATAGTAGGAAACAAAGAGAATTTTCCGATGTGTTGAAGTGCTGAATATCACTGTTAAGTTACATTCCACAAAATCTGATGCATGGATATCGACATTAAAAAAAAGAAATTTATTTAAAAGCAAATGTCCTCATGTGTGTTGATCGAGATGTTTGACGATATTGAATCCTTGTGTAACTAATCGGTTGGAATTCATGCATCATTCGGGTCCCTCATGTCGTACCTAGGGGTGCGTGGTGTGGATGTTGCTATTTTAACTGCTTCACCCACACACTCACACCCACACCCGTCATGAACAGAAGAGTCTTCGGTCATGGCTTCATCTTCACTGAGGCTCTCATTATCGCTTAATTCCATTGATGAACGAGTCATCGTTTCCTTTCATTCAAATGTATGACATATTGAGCATAACCAGCGTATTAAGTCGTCAGCCGCATCGTATCGAGAAATCAAAAACATCGATAGATGTGGTGATACATGCAATACTCCTTTGGGTACACGAGTAGAGTTTGCATGTTTTGTCGGATGTTCATAATACTTTCGTTTGGGTATTGATATACACTTTTGTAAAGAAATCAGAAAAAGCACTAGCTAGTAATCGACCCTTTCCAATATCCGATGATTCATCTCGTAATCTTATTCGTTCGAAGTCACGATATTTGTACATAAGACTTTACATTTAAAGGTGTCCTTACAATGAGATCGAAAATTTATCATTCTGTAGTATGTTGTCCCTTTTGATTCTGCGGTCTCACTTCTGTGAGACGATCTGATCCCGTTCCTCTCGAGTTACGTGGGCGAAATCATTAGTTCGACGCCGTCCTAAGAACAAAGCATGATCACGGTCGTTTCTTTGAGAAAGGAACAAAAACCCTTCAAATAAATTAGTGTCACTCAGCATGACAAACGCCAATTATCATTATTTTCAGACGAAATGACCCAGCACTCGAGACTTTCAATAGGAATGGTCTAATTTGTTTTTCATTTAAAGTATTTCTAAACAGCTCTCATATTTTTCAGCATGAAAAAATTCTGAAAAACATATTTTAGAAAAGTTTCACGTGTTTTCCCTTTGCCTGACAATGTACCATAGTCGTTCGGAAATAATCAACCAGATCTCGATATTTTCCACTAGCAGGGTCATATTTGTTTTTCATCAAAAATGTTTCCTACAGCATACAGAAAGTTTCGATTGAAAAAAATCAAAAAAAAAACTTTTCCAAAAAGTGGATAGATCTCCATGGAGCCACCCTAAAGTGATCTTGAAGATCCTATAGCATGAGCTATAAAAAACCCATCTTCTTATGACTTTGAGTTCAAAAACTATATTTTCATTAAGACGTCAATTATTGAATAATGGTGCTCCTCTTAAAATCCGATCTTGACGATTGGTAAAATTGACTCGAATGAATTCTGTGGGGAAAATATTCGGTCAAGAACTATTTTTGCATGGCTGTTCTTCATCATATGCAATGTTAAGCAGTCAAACGTCAATTCCGAAGGAAAATATTGCTCTACAAAAACATAGTCTCTTCCTCCATCATTAGTTTGATTAAATTCACAGTTTTATATATGTTCGAAAATCTACTTCGACTGACTTAATTCTACATTTCTCAATTTATTTCCCTCCCTGACACGTTTCTAAAGATTTTCAGATCAGTAAAACACTTTCTGACCTATATAACATTCATTACGAATCTTAACTCAGCATTAAATTACAATACCGGGGGAAATGGCATATTGTAATAGGCGGAGATGTCTCAATCTAAATGTCATTGTAATCAATGCTTCAATGAATGTCAATTGCAGTCTACTGTATCCTACGTCAGCATCATAGATTCCTAAAAGCCGCAAATAATATAGAATATCTTCAATTCGTTTATCGTTACGTATCGTTTATCTTTTGATTTTTATCTAATAACGTACAAATACAATAAAGAGAAAAAAAATATTCAAACTTCAAAAAAATAAAATAAACAATTACAGGATACGATAAAATAAGCAATGAAAAAATTCAATATTGATTTGATTTTCGTTTCAAGATCTCATATTGAGCAATTTGTCTTTCTAACACATACATCCAGTATCTTTCTCATGATTTATAGAAGAAATCAAATCTCAAAAAATGTTTTTTGATTTGTTATGACTCGACAGAATAAAAATAGTAAACGAACATCAACAAAAGAAAAGGTTTTAAGAACAAAGAAAATGGCTGACTGAAAGGTATGATTGCCTTAAAAGAAAAAAAAATACTTCGAAAATCTATAGAAGAGCACAACAACCTTTATTATTTGAACAGTTTTGATTTGATGAATCTGTTTGTAAACCATCATTACCCATTTTTGCACTTGAAACTGATGGATTTGAATTACTACCTTGACCAGCATTTTTACCTTTACTTTTTTTATCTTTATTTACTGGTGTTCGCTTATTGATTTGACGAACAAGATCAAAGAAAATCTAAATTATACTAGAATTGAGTCACATTTGTTTTTGCATAAACAAAATCAAACCTCATTAACATTTATTTTTTGTTTCGCAGATGTTTCAAGAAACGTAGATCCCCAATTTCGTGCTAATGTCTGGCCAACTTCTTTTCCAACTACGCGTTCATCATCAAGGTCACATTTATTTCCTACTAATATCATTGGCACCTAAATTACATTAACACATTAACAATAATACGTAGAAAAATAAAACAATATTCTTACATCAGCTGTGTCTTTCACTTTAAGAATTGTATCACGTAAATCAACAAGATCATTATACGTTGATTGAGCAGTTATTGAATATACAAGAACAAATCCTTGGCCATTTTTCATATATAAATCTCGCATAGCTGTGAATTGTTCCTGAAAAATGAATCACCTATTTGAACAATGCTTACAGTGCTACTCTTTTAGTAAACATCAGTGGTGAACTTCTTTATGTTGGATCTCCGTTTTACAGCCTCGGACGAAGATGAAACTTATGAAGGGCGATATGATAAATTTTCTACTTTAGTAGTGCTTGAGTTCTTTAAATTTTGCGTAATCTACAAGTCAAAAATCCAAATACTACTAAAAGAAAACAAATGGAGGAGGCAGTTAAAAAGTTTTTTTTGTTTTGAAAAGCTTATCTTTTAGATCTATTTGGTAAATACTTTAATTTTCAGTATAACAAGTGACTAGTCAATCCTATTATACTTGCTATTCGGTTTATTATTTTTTTCATGATGAAATACCTTCTATTGTATTGTCCGAAGATGGAACGAAGCACTAAGTAAAATATTTTCTACCTAATCATGATCAAGTACGTGCTAAGCAAACACGAAAAACGCTTACTCCTTGTTACAGAAAGAAAACGTTCCAATATTCTTCACCTTTCTATTTGCGACCTGAAAGTAGGGTTAAAATGTGTACCTCAAATAAAAAATATCACAATGACTTTTTAGTTTTGATGCAGTTCATCTTTTGTCCTTCGATTGTTTTCAACGTCATGATAAAAGAAAATACGTTATCATTATATTGATCGTCTTATCCTACTGATCTTCTCGCATACTTCGGTGAAATAATAAGATGACTTACTGTTCCAGCAGTATCCAAGATTTCACTAGAACAAAAAAACAAATGTAAATATTTTCCCTTTCCCTCCATTTAAAACTCGAACTTACAGCATACATTGTTGTCCGTCGACTTCTACTTGTTTTCTGTAACTATCTTCGATCTAGAAATAATAAAAATTAACAATATATATATATATATATATATTTCAAAACAAATTAATATAACTTACCGTCGGATCATACTTTTCAACAAATAATCCTTGGACAAATTGTACTGTCAATGCTGATTTGCCAACACCACCACTACCGAGTACGACTATTTTATATTCACGCATTGTTTAATTAATTTTATTATTAAATGAAAGAGAGAAGAAAAATATCTGAAAAATATCAATGTGTCAATTTTTTTCGAAACAAGAAAATGTCAGAATAGAGCAGTCATGAAAAAACATATTTCACAAGACAGATCAATCTTATTGAATAATAATAAAACAAGCACGAAATAAACTATCGAGTCTAAATGTCAGAACAACAGAGTTTTACTTTTTCATTCTTTGACTAAAAATTAAAACCTTTCAATCAATCAATCTTCTATTCCCCGGAACGGATCTGCACATGATTACAATCAATTTTCAAGTTAACTACTCACAAGAATCATTATATTTTCCAATGGAAATACTACAAACAAAAAATGATGATCGATCACTTCGTTCCACGACATAAAGGTATCTAAGGTCAGACTGATATATGCCTTTGGGGAAAAGGAAAAACACAAATATAAATGAAAGTTGCTTGTTTCTCTATTGCCAGTTCGCTTTGTTCATATGTGGGCGAATCCATGGAGACCCATCCACTTTTTGGACAAGTATTTTTTTGACTTGTTTTCAGTCGAAACTTCCGGTATGCCGTAGAAAAAACTTTTGATGAAAAACAAATATGACTCTGCTAGCGGAAAATATCGAGTTCTGGGTCATTTCGTCTGAAAATAATGATAATTGGCGTTTGTCATGCTGAGTGACACTAATTTATTTGAAGGACTTTTGTTCCTTTCTCAAAGAAACGACCGTGATCATGCTTTGTTCTTAGGACGGCGTCGAACTAATGATTTCGCCCACGTAACTCGAGAGGAACGGGATCAGATCGTCTCACAGAAGTGAGACCGCAGAATCAAAAGGGACAACATACTACAGAATGATAAATTTTCGATCTCATTGTAAGGACACCTTTAAACGTAACGTCTTATGTACAAATATCGTGACTTCGGACGAATAAGATTACGCGATGAATGATCAGATATTGGAAAGGGTCGATTACTAGCTAGTGCTTTTTCTGATTTCTTTACAAAAGTGTATATCAATGCCCAAACGAAAGTATTATGAACATCCGACAAAACATGCAAACTCTACTCGTGTACCCAAAGGAGTATTGCATGTATCGCCACATCTATCGATGTTTTTGATTTCTCGATATGATGCGGCTGACGACCTAATACGTTGGTTATGTTCAAGTTGTCATGCATTTAAATGAAAGGAAATGAGGGTGTGAGTGTGTGGGTGAAGCAGTTAGAATAGCAACGCCCACGCTCACACCCTCAGGTGCTTTCCTGACATTTCTCCTTCGTCTGATAATATACCATAGTCGTTCCGAAAAAATCAACCAGAACTCGATATTCTCTGCTAGCAGGGTAATATTTGTTTTTCATCAAAAGTGTTTTCTACAGCATACCGGAAGTTTCGACTGAAAAAAATAGAAAAAAAAGAAACTTTTCCAAAAAGTGGATGGGTCTCCATGGATTCACCCATATACTAACAATTAAAACTACGTCTTTTCTATCAACACAATAGTCATTAAAGCGTAGGAATTCTATATTTCTATGTCAGGCACAGCCGTCTATTTAGATTAGGTGCTATAAACGTGCACGCCTGCCATAAAAGGATATATGGCATCGAGTAAATGAAAATGTTCGTGAATGTTTTAAAAATAGTATCATATGACTACGCTATTTATCTTGTTAAAGTAATATTATAATTTACGATAGGAAACAAAAATTGTTTTTGCTATTGACTATTTTTGGACGGATTGCATTTCAGATTTATGTATAATGATAGTATAAATAAATAGAAATAGTATTTTTTTATATAATGATATCTTACTTTGATTGCATTCTCCGTTGAATACATAAATAGATCCTATCCTGGTGCAGAATATTGATGTAAGACATGATTTCAAAGGGAAATAAAAATTCATCAATCTATATGTCTAGACCGAGAGAGAGAGAATCATTTCTAAAAGGATCTTCTAATGTAAAATAAATGCAGACTGAGACTATGAATGCTGTCTAATATAAAATACCAACGGCATTTAGTCTGAAAAGATCATGTCATTTTCATCATGGAGGCTTCGGGTATTTTTGATTAATAAAAATTTTGCTTTTAAAGATCCAAAAAAAAAATAAGCCGCGTGGTTATTTAGGTTACCGGTCATTTAATTATTCCCATCTTAATTGAATAGAATATGTCTCGTGATGCTTTGAATGGAAACTAACTTATTCTGTCTTGTTACATCAACGACGATTGATAGCTATATGGCGCAATTCTCTATTGTGAACATCTACATTTGCATATCCACTTAAACAAATATATATATATATATATATATATATGCGCAGGAAGAATTGTTTTGTTCAAAAAGCTTTCAATGAAATTAATAGAAAACATGATGAAATTGCCTATGAGAAGATTCTCCAAATAAACTTATACGTCACGTCAGGGAAGAAAAAGAACTAATAATTATAATTCTCTTTTGTTGTGCATGCCAATGGTTTTTCTTTAATATATATTTTAACAGTAGCTGAAAATCACTTTAGTAATCAGAAAGATTTTAGTGAATGGAAGGAAAAGAAAATTTGCGTCGGGTTAAGTCTTATCTATCGAAAATAACTTTTATACCTTATAAGAGAATATTAATAAATCGAATCCGTTAAGTGACTTTTTGACTTGTCTAATGAGACACAGATAATATTAACCATTCGTTTAGTGTAAGAAGAAACAGAAACAGAAACAGAAAATAGTAAATAAACAAACCTATCAACAGGTGATTTTATTTCAATATCATAATATCATGATAAAACCATTAAATTTGTTGTTCTTATTGTTATTCAACTATTGCATTATGATTCTATTGAAAATAAATTCCATTAAATAAATTCAATTTACTTTCAACTAGCGACATCTAAACTCAGTGTGACGTCAATTGACTTCAGTAATCATCTAGCAATATGTCAGATAACAACAGTGGAGTTCCGTTTCGCAGATGATAATTAAAAGCAAACGCTCATTTCTCAAACGGAAATTAGTTATGGTCATGTAGGGAATACTGAATCGTGCAAAATTCTAAGAAAATCGCTTGGCTGTGTCTACTCGAAAAATTCCTTAGTCGATTACTTTCTAAGCACATTCATCGAGTTCGAATACTAAATCTAACTGTGATACAGGAATTGTCATAAAATAGTTTCCTTTCATTTTTTTTTGTCTTTTCTAATAAAGGAGAAGTAAATTATGACACGATTTCTAAGTACACTTAATGACTGTAGTAATACGATACATTCTATTTGCATGCATTTAATGTAATATCTAAATTATGTCAATATTGCCTAACTTAATACAGTAGTATCTATTCTGGTGAAAAGATGCCTTTAAAAAAATTGTTTAATCTAATTAATTTGAACGTAATCTATAATTGATAAGTACTTATCAATTAATTGAAAGAGTATACATAAGCTGGGAATGACGATAAGTTATAAGAAAAAAGTTAGCTTAAAAAACATCTTGGGTGGGGTGTGAGTGTGAAGAGAGGTAAGAACACCCACACTCCGCATCCTCAAGATTTTTTTCTATTACTTTAATAATTAATTATATATAATTTTGTGTTGTTAGGTAGTGTTACTTAATAAATTAGATATATTATTTTCTTAATTAGATATAAATTTATTTTAAAATTATATATAGATTGCTATATTTTTAGATATTGGTTTATATTTACCTTCATTCTATTTCCTACAAGATGTGTCAACTGTATCTCTCTAGGGTCAAAAAAGGTATTCATTTGTGAATAAACATATTTACACACGACTGCATATTTGAACCATTTCTCCTATAGATTCATCGATAGTAAAGTGCAAGCACAACAACAATAGCACAAAAAAGTGATTGACTAATGTAGAACTCCAAGAGCACTTTCAATCCTGCACTTTAATTATGTGAGTTAACCGTTGATAAAGAAAAAAACGTGTCAAACAACATTTTTCTTCATAGCAAAAGAAGAAATGTTTCTACCTGGTTACTAACATTTTGTTTTTTTGCTTAATTACAGAAGCAATGTGTTGGCAAAGAGGAAGTAAACGACAGAAACAAAAGTATCTGCATTATGGTCACAAAGCGATAACCGATATCTTTCGATTAACGACACATGCCACTCGGTTGGGTGATGAACATCACCTCGTTCGGACTAATCTAGTGTCGAATTTCCTATGCGAAAGTAAAGCTAGACGATCGTAAATAGAAATGTCGATCTTGAAAATATAATCTAAACATTATTACGTTGGAGTCAAATATGGATTTTTAAATGCAAATAAAATTCGCCTATTGTTGAATCAGCCAGCAGTCATAAATTGGCATGCGTATCCTTCTGTGTTAAACGAAGCATTCTGAAAAAAATATAAAACATGATTATCAAGAATTAAACAATATGTCAAATTGTCTCTCGGCCTGACTATACGATATATATTTAGAAACAGCAACTGTAGTGTCGAGTGAAACATGAATAATGCCTGCAGCGGAATTTAATCTCTATAGGAATATATAATATTTAATAGCAATCATCTTAAAATGTTGTTTTACAGTCAAATATCTTCAATCCATGACGTTTTTTTGTAGTTTTACGTCAATAGTCACATGAAAATGTCTGCAATTAGGATGCTCCCGAGAGAAAAATTAGCTGTTGTCTTGTTTATTGCCGTCAATGTACGTAAAAACAAAACAGTTTATCAGAACATATGTGCCAGACAAGCACAAACTTTTGCGGAACAGCTGCTCGCTCGCTGACGTAGTTTTTTTTATATCCGGAATACTTGAAATGTGTATATAGTAATACTAATGTCATATAAACTAATCTAATTTTTGCACACCATCTCGTTCTTACTTACGCATTTATAATGAAGAGTAAGAATTTAATTTTGCCTTTATTTCTAATTTTATGTTCCACTTAGAGTTAATTAAAATATACCGACGGCAATCATAGTCTGTGTTGGTTATTCTTTGAACTGAGTAGTTTTATTTAAAATGAATATACGCTTTTAAAATATCGATATCTACTAGCGCAATAGTAATATGTGAAACACGATATAGCCTACTGGTGCTAACCACATGGAGATTTGATGTACTTTATTTAACTCGGAGCGTATTTCGTGTACGCCGTTTACTAGAATTAGAATAATGAAGTTACTCATACAAGACCTGTGATAGTCTATGATTAACATCTGTCACGTCCTGTCGAAAATCGAAAGTTTTTACCTTGATTTTTCTCATAGATCGTGTTTCACAAAAACAAATAACCTGTAAATTATTTATATTTTCAATGGACGATTTTCACATTGTCATTCTATGCGTTTCTTTTCTAATGATAATCTTTGTTATACCCTAGAATAAAATTCTAATCTTAAAATAGATTATCAATATTTTTATTCCTACAAAAAACGATCGAATTCGATAAAATGCCGGTAATTCGACATATCGAAATTTAATTGATTTGATTGTAACCTTGAGGTTTTGTACATACAGACATCAATGAGTATAATAATATCCTTCAAAATAGTGCGGGACGAATAATGTCATTCTCTAAAATGAATAATTGATTATTATGCACTAGATGCTTCAACAGTACTACAATACCAAGGACAAATAATTCTTTCTCGTTAGTTACAACTTTGCTATCTATTATCATCGGTCGATGCCTGCTAATGAACACCACTATATTCCGACCAGCGACTTGTCACAGTTAATCATCAATATCTTTCATCAAATCGTAAGGGTGTGAAGTTTAAACTAATTCTATCAGCCAAGAAAATAGACAAGTTCGATTAAATCTCTTTATTTTAAATGATATCCAAATAATAAACATATCTTTAACTTAAAATCACTGATAAAAGCTTTGACTAGAAATGCTGCTTGTTATTTTAAAGATCACTTCGTTCAGTTCGACTTTCATTGTAAAGTTGACCAACATAGGACCAATTAATAATACGCCAAAAGTTTTCAATATATTCACTGCGACGATTTTCATAAACTGGATAATAAGCTAAAATAGAGATATGGATGATATCTTTAATTAACATGACTGAACTAACCATGTTCCCAAAGGTCAAGACACAAAAGCATAACATGATTTTCATCATACATAATTCTACGAAACAAAACAAAAACTTAAATTAAAAAAAACAATTTATTTTACGACTTACGGATTATCTTGATTAATTGAAAAAGTAAGAGTAATCTGTTTAGAATGTGCATCAATATAAATCCATATCCAACCCGAACCAAAAAAGCTATTCGATGCAGTATTGAAATATTCTTTGAATTTATCGAACGACTCAAATGCTTTTTCAATAGCTTCAAGTAATGGCCCTGTAGGTTTATTTTCTTCAGCTGTAGCTGTTGGCGTTTTTAATATTGAAAAGAAAAATTTATGATTAAGATAACCACCACCGTTATATCGTAAATGTGATTGATATGCATGTGGTAAAATACCTAAATGCGTTAAAATAACTTCTATCGGCTTTTTAGCTATTTCTTTTATTTCATCGTGTATTTGCGTATCAACAAATAGGGCTTGAAGAGCAACATTAGTGTTATTGACGTAGGCTTGAAAATGTTTATCATGATGTAATCGCATTAAATATTCGGAAAGAACTGGTTCAAGTGCATTGTATTCGTAAGGTAAATCAGGTAGAGTAAGTTCCGTTTGTGAATGAACACAATTAAAGGCAATAATAGAAAGAAGAATAGCGACAAACATTGTTAATCGATAATTCTAAAACAACAAAAAATCAAGTTTCAAAAAGAAAAATCAATTGAATGTGTAAAAAATATCTTCAGATGCACAACTACTGGCGCATCGATAGATAAATAATAGAGAAGTACTGCGATGAATTCATCATAAAATGAACTATTTGATCTAGGCCAATAGTGATGCCGTTGGTTTGTCTATATAACTACATATGTAAACATCGAAATGAAGAACGCAATAAAAGTCAAATACATATTATCCGTTCTCCCTGGATATTTAACGTTCAAGGTTGTTTTTATTTGTGCTATGAAAAAGAAATGAATTGTTTTTCATTCAATTTAAACTTTTTATTCATCATCATCATCATTTTAATTTAATCGGAAGAAAAAATAACAGAGAAATAAAACAACATATTTGTATGAGCTGCTATGTAGAACACGGAACGATTAGAAAAGAAGACAACCACACAAAATGACATACACATACATCTTTTCTTTGTTTATGCAAATTGAGAAAAAATACACACAGAAGAAAAAAAAACATAAAATATAGAGAATATATTTGATTGCTGCTCAAAGTAGAGATTCATATCCTCGTTATGTGTACACGCATGCACATAAAAGTAGAGAGCATGATTTTTATCCATTACCATTTATAAATGATTAACACTATGAGAAGATAAAGATTAAATTGGCAATGCTAATGGAGATAGATTATTGTTGATTTTAGATATTTAAATCCAAGAACGAAATCCGGTAGCCAACATTTGACAACTAATAACATTTGATTAACATAGACCACATAGAAATCACTGATTATTTTTTATTCGCATTCAATAGTTGAACAATTTCATCGTCTTTTATTACATTATGATTAAATAAGCAACATGTTTGTTCAGATGAATGCATATTTGATATTAAAGATGAATGTGGACATGACAATGGAAAGGAATGCGCTGATGATTTCTCATTTATTTTCTTCGTTGTCAAAGGTTTTGCTACTGAATGCGACAAAATTGAATCAAATAAACAAAATGATAATGATGATTTTTTCTTTTTTTTGTCTATGGTTCCATTTGAATTCGATGATGTAGATAATATAGATGTTTTATCTATTTGATTTGACATGACTGTTTTTTTAATTTGATTTCGAGATGACGATATAAACAATAACATGGACGAATCTTGCCTAGAAAAAGGAAATATTCTGCTTTTCGTTTTTCCGAAATATCAACAAAAACAACAACATGTAGATTATTGTGAGTATTAGATTAGAGCAGCATGTGTCAAAGCTTTTTTTTTAAAACAATCAAAAGTTTGTGTATTTTATCCTTGCTTTTTTATGCTTTTAAGTATTGAACTGCGGCGAAACAGTGACATCAGCATCCCCAGTCATAAAATGTCGACGACCTGATTGTCTCCATTCAGGTATTTCCCATGTCAATAACCTATGATTTATGCAGATACATATAAAAAGCACACAAATTCACAAACATATGAAACAGGCAGGGTAATTGACATAAATAGCATGCGGGGACAAATATAAAAAAAACATATCATATTCATATAATGCATACAGTGACAAGGGGAAGGTTTCATTCAAGTTTTGCTTACGCAATAGGTAAATTAATTTTTATTTCTCTCTTTTGTCTGTTTAAATGTATCTTTTTATTTATTTAGAACGAGGACTATTAGAATAGAAGAAAATATTTATCATGTCTTCTACAGTTCATTGATATACTTACTCTTTTTGTAGAGCAGCGGTTGGATTAGTTAGAGCTAAAAGAAACAAAAAACATATGTACATTAAAACCAATTATATGAATGCAGAGAAGGTTAAAATTGAGATTAGCGAATATCAAGAACAGATCAGGGTCGATTGTAGATCATTAAAGGGCGTTTTGCATACGAAAGCAAGAGAGAATATTACACTCAGTGTTCTCCCCTATAGAATCTCCCGCTGATACAGATTTACACATTTATCAGTTGTGATAGTGATAATTAAAGAGAGCGACACCCTAATCTAAATATAGATATCTCTTCATAAATGCAGATAATAATCATAGATTGTTGCCTGATCTAAACCTTTTTCTATATCGCGTAAAACATACACACTCATGTTTAATTTTTGCGCTCTATTAAAAGGCAATGAATCGGCACGATTTATCGCTGCAGTCGTTTTAGCTGTGGTTATATTTAAATTTCATTTGCGCTATATCGACTATCGAACTTTTCCCACATACGCAGTGTGGATACGAACTCAATTTTCTTTTAGGAGGAAAGTTACAATTATATCAACAGCAAGCAAAGCAAAACCCTACATGAGTTTTTGGTTAAGCAGAAAAAAAGAGAAAATTTTCTCAAGTATTGGGAGAGTTGTTACAACCCGTCAGCCGGGCCAGTCCTATTATAAATTCTTATGATTGTATAACTAACGATTTGAATGTTCGTCCTACACGGTAAACACTTATGGTGAACAGCACTTCTTCTACTTCTCGACATAATACGTATGAAGAGGCAACTTATATTGTTCTTGTAAAATCTTATTCTAATTATATTATATATTCTCACAAGTGAATCATTCAAGTAGAGTGCAATCAGTAGCAAGAACAGTTTGAATAGGACTCTCAAAATATCTGAGTTACGATTTAATGCATAGCATAGCATCGCAATGGAATTATATGTAAGACTCTATAGAGATTATTATTGTGAATAAATACATAGAAGATTCTAAGACAGTGCATACCTATGATAAGATCCATCTGACGTTGAAGCACCTTGTTTACACTAGTGACCCATAATTCATACTGTTCATCGTCTTTACATTGGCAAATAACTCTACGTGTAATTCCAGCGTCAACTTCAACTAACGTAAATTGAAATGCTTCTTTACTGCGTTTGAATTCTTTATGTTGTAATTTGTTAATCTAAAATCAGCGAAAAAACTTCTTTGTCGTCTTTCGAAAAACAAAACAAATCCGCTTATTTACTTTAAGTTCATATTTATAAATATAATTTGGACTTGAATATTTATCTTTCGCTGGTATTTCATCACAAAATATCATAGATTGTTGAAATAGAAATACTCGTCGTTCTTTAAATTTCTTTTCAATATCTTTCGTATCTTTTGATGTTAATGGTTCACTGACAGATAACATATCTTGTAATTTAAGTTCACCTAATTGATGTACATTGGTTGGCAAATCTTTTATTCGACCAACATTCATCATATCATTGGCTTGCTGTGGTACTTCAATCATAACTTGTAAAGCACTGCGTATAGCACGTGGTTCATCACCCATACGTTCCGTTGATTTGAGAATTTCTCTTAGTAATAATTGATAACGCATTATTCTTTGAACAGGTTTTATTAGTAAATCGGATACGAGCAATTTTTGGCCGAGTTTTTTACGAATATCCTATAGATATATATATATATATTTAAAAAATCAATAGTATCGAACGTTTTTATTAGCAATGAAAAGCACAACAGAATCCTCACAAGATTTAAAAAAAATTTCTCTCGAGCTCCGGTATGTTATTCCCCACTTATTGATTGAATGAAACTCAAGCTAGATCAATTTAAAACAAAAATCTTGACACTTGTAGTTAGAGTGTAAACGCGCGTGAACAAATTTGATTTTCTTCTTCAAAGGCTCAGCCAAGAGAAACCTATGCCGAATTTAATTCGCATTTCATCTTGAATAATTCTTGTTGTTTCGTTCATCTATAAGATTTCTCAACGGCACATAACATATTAAACTATTATAATCTGTTATTGGGACATAACTTTTTTTTTCTCTATCTCATCGTCTTTGTTTTCTGCTCCTACGCTCGTGCGTATACTTATTTACTGCTTTTACTCGGTAGTCCTGGTGGTGACCTCGGGATAGTCCTAGGGCGAAAACAAGATGATAAATTACTAGATAGAATTTCTTTAATTAGTTATGTTCTCGACTAGAATAATAATTTATTTATTATTAAGAAAACAATTATTTTTCTTGGGAAATATTTTTTTCATGACAACAGGTTGAAATATAGCATATGATTATGATTATACTAATATCTTTCACTGTAGGTTTTCTTCTAGGTCGTAAATATCTTGTTTTTCTCGTTGAAACAAATGTCTAACGAAAGAAAATAGATCTTAATTCGCAAGACAGACTTTTTTCATGTAGATCATTGATGCCTGCTGTTCACCCTTTTGAGACTTTTTTCTATAAAAGTGTGGCTAGTATCAAAATATAATTAGAATTATAATGGCAATATAGTCTTTTTATTTTCTCTTGCTAATAATAATTTTAGTCCTAGATTTGATATTGATCTTTTCCTTATTTCTATTGATGACAAAATCATAAATTTTCCGGAAAAGGAAAAGAACTCGTCTCTTTTTTTTCAAGAAAATAATTACTCTTAAAAAAATTGTTTTGTCTGTCTCAAGAAGAAATTCTCTATAATTGAAAAGATCATGACTGTTATTCTTTCATATTGTTCTCGTACAAATAGTCATTTGTAATTACTAATTGTATATTATCTTTTTCTCATCGGATGCTCTTCAATTGTCTCAAGGGAATTTTTGCAGTTATGTTTTCGGTCTTCGCATGTATGTTAACAATAAAAAACAAAGCAACTAACTTCAAAATAATCATGATATTCGGCAACAATATATTCCGATCGTGGTTTATTTTCACAATATTTTACATATGGACTAAATCGATTTGTCTATAGAAGAAGAAAAACAAAAATAGCATAAAAAAAAGAAAGCATTTTCCTTCTATTCTTACAGTAAATAATCGACCAAGGGTATCGGGATTTTCAATGCATTGTTCAAGTTGGGGTAGAAAAGTACTGAAAAACAAAAAAAGCAATTATTTAGTAAAGATGATCGGTGGGGACTTTTTTCTCGTAAACTTACTCTCGATGAAATTCAAATATTCTTTGTACATTGCCAAAAACAACACGTTCGCGACCTGTCAGGCCGGTTGGTTTTTTAATATCTTTATCATTTTCAATAACATTCATATAACCCTAATTAATCACATTGAATCAGTAGAAAATTTTTAAAACAAAAATTTCTTTCGTTACCTCAACAATTAATGCTAAATCTTTGACATATTCTTTTTCGGTTTCAATTAATTCGACAATATTATGTCTAACAATAGAAAAATTTTGTCTACGAAAAAAGAGCAACACCAAAATTTTAACTACCTTCTTTTTGCACCATATTTAGTTCGAGGATCGACAGGTTCATCGGTTGTTGTCAGTGACGATAGTGCTGTTTGATCGGCATCATTTAAAGATATTTCATCGGCTAGTTCACTTGGGCTGTCATTTGGAATCACAGTTATCGTCGATGATGATGATGATGATGGCGGCGGCGGCATACTAATCGTTGGATTATCATCGACAGCCGGTGTTGTTACTGAGAAGGGAGTTGGGATCTGAAAATCACTTGCCGATAGTGTAGAAACAATATTAATAGGCGCCTAAGAGAAACAAATCCAAAAAGAACGAATAAATTTAATTTATTTTCTATGTGTCTTTGTTTTTTCTCTCTATCACACGACGCTTACAACGTGCTGAACGAGTCGAGCAATAACTGAATCATCTTCAATGGGACTAATCGATGTTAATGGTGGCACACGCGTCTTTCGCAAACGTGATGATAGGTCACCACTACGGCCTCGAGATGAGTCCAGTGCAAGAGTATTGACCAATTTTCTTACAACTGTATTGATCTCCGTTATAAAATACAATTACTATTTAATGGCTTTCTCGCCTGTTAAAATAAAGATGCTACAAAATAAAGTGCACGCCGTATTACTGATAATGCTGTTGGCATTAGCACAACGATCGTCGTTGTCTTTCCATTAAACGAAAATGTCACAAAAGACGTCGACAGTAGACATAAGGCAGTAAAGACACGAGAAACGCAAGAGAGAAAGAGAGAGAGAGAGAGAGAAAGAGGAAAAAAGGAACTCAAGAAATACGAAAGGAAGAAAGAAGAAAAAAACCAGGCACTATTGACTGGTTCCGTTCTTGGTTGGCCTCGTACGACCGTCTAATATTATTATTGCGATTATTCAGCAACGAACGATTGCTGTCGTTTCTACTGCCTTTTGCCTAAACATTCTTATATATATATATATATGCCAGTGTATATACATTGAGACGTTCGCTCGTATGCGCTCTCGCTTGTTCCAATTGATGAAGTATCAGGAACAAGCGATGCAATTAGATGATGAGATAGATTCTCGTTCGTACACACACTGAACTAAAAATATGTCGTTGTTGTTATTATTACTATTATTCAACTTGATATAAGCAATTGTGTCTTTATCTATAGTCGTCTTAAACAAAATAATGATTAATGAAGCCAGAAATCAATGTCTGTTTATGTTTGAACATTGATGACATGGAAATATATATATATATATATATATATATAAGAAGAATTTTCTCTCGCCCTGCTTTTTTTCAGTCTCTAGTTTTTCCTTTTTTGCTTCTTATTAACGACACTATCCTGTTGTTGCCTTCTTTACATGAGTAGTATGTGATAGATGTGTCGAGATAACGCTCGCATTGCTTAACACTACATTATACATATAAGTAGAAAGAATGAAAATCCGTAAAGGCCAACTGCTCTTGTTGTTACTATTACTAATATAGCTTCTGTTCTATATGTCACTAGTTCCTTTTGGCGTCACCTGATCCTCATATGAGACAACGAAAAGAAAAAGGCAAACGGATTACTTACAACTAGTGAAGAATCAATATTTGTATCGGGAGTTGATACATGTTGAGATTGAATAACGGCCGATGATGGTATTTCGATTATATCGTTTTCTAAATTATTCCTTGGGGATATAATTGTCATAGTAGTTGATGATGATGATGATGATGATGGCGAATGAGATGATCCAGTCATGTTATATATATCATTTACATCACCATTACCAATAGATTTATTCATTGTGTTCTAGAAAACAGAAATTCGAATAGATATATATTCAAAGGAAACTATGCGAATGAGTATTCGGATACTTTCAATGTTTTTTACAGTAGATATTAATAATATCATATTACTTTTCTTCTTCATATTTTTTCTAAGTCAATACTGAGAAAAAAATGAAGAATAAGAAGAAATAAACTTACATTATCGTTTATATTTTGTTTCTTTGATAATGACGATAATAGTTTATATTTTTTTGTCCATGAAAGACCAGGCATTCTTTTATGCTTTCTCTTTCAACTTATATAAATGATCATTGAAATGAAAATGATGACGATCTACACATATGCTTATCAATATGATGAGGACGGTAACTCGTAGCCATACGGAAGAACACGATGATGACGAAGGCGACGTAATAGATATACACATATACCTCATATAACTATATGCTTATATTATTCTATTTTTGCTCTCGTACAACGTTCATATGTATAAACATTCATAAGCAAAGAATTGCATAACAGATAGAAGAACAAGAAGAAGAAAAAAAGAAGAACAAGAAACGGAGAATGCTCTATACTAATAGTAATATATGTAAAAAGCTTCATCTTTCTTGTTTGTTTAATTATTTCCTAATCTCAAAAATGCTTTGGTGTTTTTTATTTTGAAAATTAATCATCGTATAAAAATAAATCTTCACCCACCGTATTATTAGGAGTTGATGCTGAATTTTCAGTATTTATAAATGTAAATGGCTTTAAAAAAATAACACAAGGTAAAATAAAAATAAATTACTCATTATTTATATACCTTGATCTTTCTTGATATTGAAGAATCGGAAGACAACGGTTCTCTTTTATTAGCATATATATCATTACCACTATCTGCTGGTATAATCGATGCTGAATTTGTTATTAAATTTGGTAGATCTGGTGTTTTAACATTTTTACTAGTACTATTATCCTTTAAGCTCAGACGTCGAACGGGAGTTTTAAGAATTTTTCTAGAAAAAAAAACAATAATCTATTAAAGTGTTTTTTTTTTAATAATCAAAATTTACCTAACACTAGATTTTCGTTTATTGATTTGAAAAATCGAAGAAGGATTTCGTGGTTGTAATTCGTCTAGATTGTTTGAAATAACATCTAAATTCAATAGAGAAAATTCTTGATTGAATTCATTAGTTCCTACATTTTAATTAAATAAAGACAAAAATCTATTTATCCTTAAATTCAATAGACTTTGATATCATTAGTATAGAGATGGCCTAGTTTGTCATAATACGAAAAACATCATTTAAGTGATTTTTGCAGTCTTATTAAAAAAAGATCTATATGTTCTGTCAAAGGACAGGGGTGTATAAGCCACCAGTTTTGAGCCATCGTCAGTTTCGTTTGTTTATAGCTCACTAGACGCAGAATTTTACGAGGAATCGTTTGATACTGAAATTGAGTTATTTTGACACAGTCTATGGGTAGTTCTGTTCAAAATAGTGAGATCCAATTTTGTATATAGAAGAAACCAAGGGGGAAAAGCGTATTTCTAAATGTTTCTGAGTATTTCTAGGTATTTCAGAACTCCGGAAATACGTAGAAATAGGCAGAAATACTCAGAAATGCTCAGAAATATTCAGAAATACAGAAATACGTTTTTTCCCCTTGGAAGAAACACATATATAATATTTCCCTAATGAGGTATTTCGAATCGAAAATTGTGTCAAATAATTGTCCACTCCCCACCCAATCCTTGGTGAGAATTGCAATCCGGACGATTCAAAAATGTTGCTGAGCAGTAATGAAAAATCTATCAAGTTGAGTTCAACAATTATAGAAAAAAGCTCCAATCGGCAACGAAGCGCTACAAAATCAGATACTTTCGGTTTTTTCAGAAGTGGTCTTCATAAAATAGAATGGCATAACTTTCAATCGGACACCGGCTTTGTGCATTTTCCTCTGATTCCTTGCCTATCTTAATCATAAAAAGTAGAATTTTATACAAAACAAATAACATATTTGAAATGAGAGCAAAAGGTTGAGTTGGTTGATGCACATTTCAATCTTCTCTAATTAAATTTAGTTTTCCCCCAAAATTATCCTGAAGTCACCCTCAGGGTTCACTGAAAAGTTGAATTTAATCAAAATAAGGTTTTATCAAAGGAATACAATCTCAAAGCGTATAAAACACTAGAACCGCACGAATAGACGTATATATAACTGATGGAAATTGTATTTTGATTAAATTCAACTTTTCAGTGAACCCTGAGGGTGACTTTAGGATAATTTTGGGGGAAAACTAAATTTAATTAGAAAAGATTGAAATGTGCATCAACCAACTCAACCTTTTGCTCTGATTTCAAATATGTTATTTGTTTTGTATAAAATTCTACTTTTTATGATTAAGATAGACAAGGAATCAGAGGAAAATGCACAAAACCGGTATCCTATTGGAAGTTATGCCATTCTATTTTATGAAGACCACTTCTGAAAACACCGAAAGCATCTGATTTTGTAGCGCTTTGTTGCCGATTGGAGCTTTTTTTTATAATTGTTGAACTCAACTTGATAGATTTTTCATTACTGCTCAGCAACATTTTTGAACCGTCCGGATTGCAATTCTCACCAAATATTGAGTAGGGAGTGGGCAGCTATTTGACACAATTTTCGATTCGAAATACCTTATTAGGGAACATATTATATATGTGTTTCTTCTACGTACGAATTAGTCATATGTATACAAAATTGGATTTCACTATTTTGAACAGAACTACCCATAGACTGTGTCAAAATAACTCAATTTCAGTATCAAACAATTCCTCGTAAAATTCTGCGTCTAGTGAGCTATAAAAAAAAACGAAACTGACGATGGCTCAAAACTGGTGCCTTATACACTCCCGTCCTTATATAATAAAGAAGAAATATTTATATGATTAATACAACATCTAACTCATGTTCTCTAAAAATCTTTCGAAACAAAATAGAGCAACTTATTAATGTCATGTGTCATTCGATCAAATGCCTTTCTATTAGAATTCATTGAAAAGCGCAAATATCGATAATCGAATAGGAAGATAAAATCCAAAACTTTTTAGAAAACGCCGATTTAATCATTGCAAGTCATGAAATTATTTTAATTCGCTCGCATGATTGAAAATCGACTTTGGAAGATTTTCTCGTTTTATTATAAAAATCATTTGGCCTTAGAAATGGCTCAGCAATGATTAAACGATACAGATGGAGCCGAACATATAAGCTGCAACTTCCATGCATTAAAACTTATTGAATCAAATGGAATGCAATGAACCATGAAATTTTATCGTGTTTCCGGTTGTGAAAAGTTGATTTCTTTTTTTTCGGAGGGGGAGTTTCTCAATGTTAAATTTGCTTCCTATCGATTTGCATAGTAATTTAGGCGACGTTTTGACTTTGTAAAAAAACAAATTACACATCGGAAAAGCTAAATTAACCATTGATGTACGCTTTTCATTAACGTTAATTTGAGAACAAACAAAAGTAGAAGGTTATTTTTCTTTAGAAAGTCTTTCACAATTAGCTTTAGAGAAAAACGCACTTTTTCATAAAACTTCTCACTCTTATAGTACTCCTAAGCGAAGAAATTTTTCTTTTCTAGAACCAATAGTGCAATTTTGATCTTGACGTAAGAAAAATTAATTCGAGGTATTTGTGGAAAGCAAAATTTGACGTGATTTTTAGCCTCTTACAGCCGGAAGTTCGAAATCTATTGAAACGTATCCTTGACTATAGTCAAGTTTTATTGAAAAACTCGTTATCTTAAATCAAAACTTGTAAACGAACAATAAATAAGATATAAATCATAGTATACAATCTTAAAATGCTGATATCCTAAATAGAGATTAGTTTAGTGAGGATACCGGAAGCTCTTGTTTTTTCCTTCTTCAAAAGGTTTCGTTTCCTTTCTTTGTTTTTTCTAGACGCCCTTATTTTCTATGCTAACTATTGATATGTTTCAGTAAACGACTAACTGCAATTCTTAAATATAGATCACATACAAAAGTCATGAATAATGTCGAAGTTCACAATTAGCTTTTAATAAAATTTTGACTAAAATAGCGTCTTTTTTTAAAAATTTTAATGAGAATAATTCAAACGATTCGATGCAATAATTGCCGACATTTACTTTTCTGTATGTCAGTCTAGAATACTAGGTACTTTTGATTTGTTTCCATATAATTAGAATCGCATTTCATAGTAATATGACAAATATGAAGTGATAGTACTTAGTATACACTAGATTTTCCTCCGTGCTTTTTTCTTCTTCGGTAAAGAAAGGTTTACTATAATATAAGTCAAATAGAAAAATTATTTATGAATATTTTCTAATTAACGAAGAAAAAATATTCTATGGTGTACATTACCTAATCGTTAGACTAAATTATTTATTTACTCTACAACGAACGAAGAAATCCTTCAAAAATCATATCCAATGAATATCTTATTAGTCTGACGAATAGGCTTAGAGACTACTCGAAAATGATATTATCATCAAACTAACTTAAACGAGAATTCAACTTGATCTCCTATCGAGCACAAAACTAACAAAATGACAAATGTCGAGATTAAGTTAAAAAAGTATTCTGCTTTGCCTCATCATAATAATTCTACTGTATCAATCAATTATCATCATTTAAGATGAATAAGACAAATTTTCTCACGTCATATATGTCAACTGACTCTTCTTTTTTCATTTTTATAGATTGTCAATTTTTCTTGAAAGAATTTTTTCCATATGATAGGCTATCATTATCTCTCTCTCTCTCTATATATATATATATGTTGTGGTCAAAATTAAAATTAAAATTTTTTCAACAAAGTCACAGTCAAAAGTGAAACTAGAATTTTGACTGAGATTACATTGGGCAAATTTAAAATTTGACTGGATTTTAATTTTGACCACAACATATATATATATATATATTATTAATTTGAGTTGTCTAGTAATAAGGTTTCTTTTTTAATAGTGCAAAACAAGAAGAAAAAACAAAAATTAATTCTCGATCGTTTAATTTCCCAAATGGAAATGCTAGTCGTTGGATTCTGGGATATTTCTAGACTAGATTTAAGTAGAATAAATAAGGATGTTTCTTGAATAATAATAATAATAATATTCGATTATTATTTTACCTTGCTCACTTCTACTACTATTTAATGAACGAGGTAATGGCGGTGGTAATTGAATGTTTGATGACGATGATTTAGCTGATTTAAGAATAGCTGCTGGTACAAGTCCTTCGATATATTTTGTAGATGGTATTGATGATAAGTCAGCTGATGCACTTGCAAGTGTTATTGATGAAACAGCAAGTGATGAGGCACTTGACAGAGTTTGTTGTTGATGATGGTTCAATAAACGAATGAGACACCAATCGGGTGTATTCAACGGTTGCCTTTGAACAAGTCGTACATGCTGACCTTTGCTCACAGTTAATTCTTGGGGACTGCGTGCCGTATAATCGTCTAAGACGGTTGTTACGTTTGAATCCTATGACAGAAAACAATTGATAATCATAAATGAACTTATATATCTATATGTAAATAAGGAAGTAATAGCTTTTTCATCATGCTCACAGATCAATTGATTAATCAATCAATCAATCAATTAATCATATAGCCTCTGGTAGTATTTATTAGTTTCTAGGTATTTACCCATCGTAATTTTAGTTTGCGCCAGAATTCCATAAAAGAATCAAGTAAGAAAACTTTGATATATTTGATGATAAATAAAAAAGAAGAAGAAAAAAAACGAGCTAGGCTTCGTCAAGACGGAAGTTCTATATCGATAGATGAATTGATGGCGACGAAAAATGAAGTGCTATCTGTTTTTCCGTCCAGTCAAGTGTACGCCATCTCGATAGTCACGTATGGTGAAAAATGCTTGTGTAGCGAAGAAGAAAAAATGAAATCAGCATCGACGATTATTTATTAAATAATACTCGTCTCTCTTTTCTCTCTTGCTCTCTCTCTCTCAGTCTCTTGTGCGAACGCGTGCGTTGGTGTGCGTGTTGTCGTTGTCGACGACGCACAAGACTCAGTGATGTTGCTGTTGCTAGTAGTAGTAATAGTAGTAGTAGTAGTCGTCGTCGTCGGCCTTCTTTTTTCTTCTCATATATTCTACAATGATTACTCCTACTCCTACCATCAAAACAATGACATCATGATATTAATCACGGCGATTATTCTTCTTTAATTTTTTAATTTTCCCTAAGAAAAATTCATTATTAAGATAACAGCAATAAAAACTTAAAGTCAATATAACTATTATTTAGTTGACATTATCGATAAAAACAACTTTGTTTACCAGTCACTTTCATGCCACACTAGGCTTTATTATTCTAATCAGATATGGTTCAGTTATTTCGCTTATATGTACAGTGTGTATAAGTCGGATTTTTTATTTGTTTGCTTTCTATTTTATCGTCGGTTTCTTGCTCGCGCTTTCATTTTCTATTGTCATCAGCTTTTTTTCTGCGCTTTCTTGTTCTCTCATGCACATAGACAGAGTTACATTCATTACTTTCCCATGAATGATGAGAGGAAAGGGAAAACCTGGTGGAGACACACACACACGAGCTGAAGAAGAAAACATTTCTATATAAAGGCAAAAAATAAATCTTGTTTTTGCCGCTGTTCAAGACAAGGGAATCATGGGTTGAAACAGCTTTTCCTTGACAAGAAATGACGACAACAGTGACGAAGACGTCGAAGAATTTCAACAAGACATACACGCAAACACGCGCACCCATAGTTAATTCAATCGTGAAGTGTGCATGCGAAGAGTGCTAATCGATCTGTTCGATAAACTGAATTAAAGAATAAATTCATTCGTTAAAAGCAGCTCTCGTCTAAGAAAACACCAGTAGTATATCCATGAATCTGCTCAATTTTCTTTTTTTCAATGGCTATATTAGAACTATCAAAACAAAATAAATAAAGGAAAAGAGAGAGAAAGAAAGAAAGAAAGAAAGAAAGAAAGATTATTACAGCACTATACGTAATAATTATCTCAAAGATCGTTTACTTGAATCAATAACAACAGTTAGTTCTCTTAATCCAGTCTTTTCTTTCACACGGTACATCAACTGCATGCTGTTTGTATAGCTATAGATTTATTGTATTTAATAATAAAACATAATAAAATATTTTTTTTATATCTTGTCGAGCGAGACTCTATATTATTCTTAGTCACGGAAAGTCAATATAATTTCTTTAAAAAGAAAAATGAGATCGTTCTATGTTTCTATATCAATAAATATTCTAAAACTTTTCTGTCATCTTCAGGCAATCGATAATAAGACATATCGACAAGATTAACTATTTATTGATAAAAGTGATAGGCAATTTCTTTTGCGGTGTGATAATAGAAAGTCATTTATTTTCTATCACTTGAAACATATTGCACATCATTTCTGCTCATTAGACTTTCGAAAGTAAGGAAATAGAATAAAACTAAACTAGATATAAATTTCGATTTTCTGATAAAAAAGAATGCTTACCAAGTAACAGTAATTCGATGCTTTGCTTCGACTTTTCCCTCCCTCTTGCTCTCGACAAATGAAGACTGACTATATGATGTGTGTTCACATATAAATGAGATAATAACTGCTGACGGTCTATCTATTTAAGCTCTTCATTTACTGTTAGTATGCTGATGTGATGTTGATGATCGTAAAGCAAAAAGGAAAAAGAGAAGAAAAAAAAATCTAGCCCTCTCAGCTTCGTCAACATGCACATTCATTTATGTAAAGAGACATTAGAATTAAAAAGATGTGCACACAGGTAGTAAAATATTGCCTATAGACAAGGATTTTTCTTTTCTTTGCTTATGTCGGATGACTTGATAAAAAATGATTATGCAGATGTGCAGAGATCAAGACACAGATGTTACTTTTGTTTTTGTGTGCTTGTCTCTGTGTCTCATGCTTCTTAATCATTGCTACATATGTATAGTTGCTGTCGTTTGAAAGAAAAGCTGGAAAAGATAGACTAACCTCAGACCAACGTCGAATATCTTTGAGACGTCTTTTCATAGCATTGATAGATGTTTTTATTGAACGAAGAAGCGTTGTTGTTGATGGATTAGCATGTGAATCAGATGGTATTGGTACAGGAGAAATTATTGGTATTGAATCAGTTTTTTGGCTTGATATTGATGATGACGATGGAACTGATTTCGATCGATTATGCATAAATATAAAAGATGATAAAGAGTGTTTCCGTCGAAAATGATAAGGTGCCAGCAAACTATCAGCCTTCGGTGGATGACAAAGTGGAGGTGATGATCGCGGTGAGACATATAATGGAGAGGATCTTGTAGTTTTACGATCTTGTAATTGAGTATCCTGATAAAGTTCTTCGTCGGATGGTACTTGACATGATCTATCACGCAATAATGATCGATCAACACTTTGACTACAACGTTGGCAATCGACGACTATCGTTGGAAATGGATCGCAATGCTGCGTAGAAGAATCATCTGCAAAAGGTATATTATCGTATTCATGATGTTCTTGTTCCGATGCTGGTGGATAGAAAAAATCCGAACCATACAAGGATGATAGAGATGTCAAATTCGTATTTGGTGAATACAAGGATCGTCGGTGATCTGAATATCGATTGAGTACAAATGAATTCAGTGGCCGATGAAATGTTCTTAATGGTGGTGTGGGTGTTTTATAAAGAGAATTACGACCGTACGATGAATTCGTTCGGAAAGGTTCGCCGGTAAATGCCATTGAAAATGGCCGAGGATTTGATATACGTTGAGTGCGAATCATTGGTGGATTTTCATAGGTAGACGACGAGCAACGTTGTCGATATGAAGTATATGATGAATTCGAGCTTGGCATGGTAATGTTTGAATTAGTTGCAGTTCGAGGAACATTATCATAATTACACGGTGATTTTGTCGGTTTGGGAAAAGACATTTTTGTTCGATTAGCATTGTTAGTACTTGTATCGGTTCTTGTTGGTATTGGCGTTTCATTTGTCCAAGCGTTAATTTTTTTAAGAATTCGATCAATTTTCTCTGTGATTGTTTCACTAGGAAATATTCTCGATCGTTGAATATTATTATTATTATTATTATCATCATCATCATCATCATCATCATCATTGTCATCATGAACAAGAGCATCATCGTTCTTTTTGTACCATTTTCGTCGTGTAGTTGCCGTACATTTTTCTTCTTCGCTTCTTGTTGTTACTGTGGTTGACGTGGAATTAATTACTAAATTCTCTTCAATTAAGATTGGACCACGTCGCCATCGATATCGTTTCTTCTCACTGTTCATTCATTGAACTTTTTCGTTGATTTGTCGTCTTTTGTCTAGTAAATATGTCAGAATTGTTTTATATTCTAGAGAACGTCATGCTTTGTTCTTGTATGGTTTGATCGTAGAAAAGAAGATCTCTCGTCTATGAGAGTATATGTGGTCTTTCGTTCTTCTTTTTTTTCTGACATAATGTATACCTAATGGATGATACGTATACGAAACAGAAGAAAAAGAGAGACCGACGAAGCCATCATATATCCGTAAATGATAAATAAGCTTGGGAAAATCGCCGCCATACCAATCGACAACAGTATGCTAGGCTATTTAATCTCTCTCTCGCGCGCACCACTAGACAGTGAAAAAGCGAGGGAGGGAAGGGGGAGAAAAAAAGCAAGAAACTGTCATTGATTCCAGGAAAAAAATAAAAACATAAGCAATGACTTGTGTACAAGCTGATTAGCTTGTGCGTTGTTGCTCTTCTGGTTTCAGCATGGAACACTAACATTTTCTGGCTTGTACATCAGCTGCCATGACTTTTATTGGTGTACTATTAGCATAAGAGTATAGTATAGCAGCAAATCGCTGTAGTACTCAATACTTTGAGGGGCTACTCACGAGTACATATTGCTTGCAGTTATATTGAGGATATTGTAGATGTTCTAGTTTTTCACCCCTGATAGTTTATTATAAGATGAGCAATATTCAATCATAGACTATCTGAACTTTTCATCTTAATATGTGCATATGTATGCATGCTGTTGATATTATACATTTACTATAGAGAGACAATAGGAATCTATGTATGACGGAAGAACATAACTTGTAGTCAAGGTTACTATGTTGACAGATTTTTTCCTGTCTCAGACATAGAATAACACATGCAATTATGAAAAGTCATAATTGGAAAAACGAACAAAATAGAGGAAACCTATTGATCAAGCATTTGGCTTGTATATTTGTTTTGCTGTGAGTAAATTCATTCTTTCTCTTCTTCGGACCTACTTTTTCTATGTACTTGAGATAGTACCCTATTAGGACAAATGTGTTCAATGATATTTGATCTCTATGATCAGCAATCGCTTGTGCTCGGCAAACTAAGTTGCTAAACGTAAAAACTAATATAAACAGAAAGATGATACCTTTAAACAGGGTTAAATATGTTCTATCTTAAAGAAAAATTTTATGCTCGGTTATTTTATTATAGCAAAAAAATAAAATAACTACTGTCAACTGATTTTGTTATTCATTGGAAATAGAAGGGAAAAAATAGCGAGATGTTGCGTATTCTTAAAAGCATGTCAGACATAATTTGATTTAGAAATCCATTAGAACGACAATCGCAAAGAAAAATGACGATAAATATTTTGCAATCTAGTTTTTGACTGTCTTGCTATGAATGATGTTTGATGGACTGCTCTAGTGTAATATTTGAGCTAAAACGTGAAATTTGTTTTCGTATCTATATTTTATGAGAAATTATCGTTTGAAGTTATTAGCAAAGATCAAAATAAGAACATGTTTCCTGAGATAATGTCAGATACTTTCATGATTGATTCTATATTTAAAGAATTTATCCATAAATATGATAACACTTGCTGTTGCCAACCGATTGGGACATGTTTACTATCATCGACCTGAATCGCGTTTAATATTTATGTCAGAGTTTATTTTGTCCGAATAGACTATTCTTGCCGAAGTTTTTATCCATCGAAAGTACTTACTGTTGACAGATTCAATGAACTTGGTACCATATGGGAAAATGCTTACATTAAAGAAGCATCGAACTCAAGTCAATCAAATCAAGTGTACCACAGTAACAATAACAAACGTCAACATGTCAGATTTTTCTTATTGACATGTATATCCATTACCATCTATGTTGTACCTGAAATAATCAGCCATGGACTAATCGTTGACTAATTTGTCTCTCATTTAGCTGCTGCTAGGAAAATCTATTGCATATTCTTCGCTAGTAATCGTTGAATTGGGAGAATAGTATTCTATTTGTATAGACACTTATTTTTGACCAGAATGCAAATCGAAATCTCTGCTATTTCATCATTGATTTGATTTTCGTACATGCTCATTGGTGAACATCATGATTTCTTTTCTTCATAAAATCAAGTATCGATTTGATTCATGGCAGACGCTACAGTCAATGAAGAATTCATACTGAGAGATATGAGAGTAAAAACAGAGAATTTTATTAGAAGACAGCGTGGAAGGCTATGCCCCCCCTCCCCCAACCCGCACTCTCATTACCTCAACGGTTCCACTTGAACGTCAACAAATGGCAATAGATTTTTACTCAGCTCGATGCTTGAATGTTTAGCAATCAGAAAATATAGTACTAAAAAATATTTTTACCCTTTCTATAAAGGACGTCAAAGTAATTATGACAGCAGCAGTTCAAAAATCACAAATATTATTCTAAGGAAAATTGTGTTACACTTTGATCTGACTAATTTCGTTTATCGCGAAATCGGCTTGATTCTTTCAACGATGAAAACGTCATAAAAAGCAGGGCGCGATGACCGACGAAAAACAAGCAAATGTCACAAATTGACAATAATAAATTTTGACATCGACAAGTAATTAATAAGTTCTAGTTGTTATTGACTTCATCAAGACAAAGAGCAATAATAGGAAACGACATTCGATTCAACTATGGTCGTCTGGTCAACATTGAAAAGAAAACATCACATATCATACGATTCATACTTAATTTATTTGAACAATTTGTCAATGAAAAAAAAAACAATACATTTAATCTATTCGTTTTATTCATGTAAAAAATATAAGCAAAAAAAAGAACAAAGGCAAGAATACATATCTCTCCTAATCACTGTCACATAATTAATTAAACAAGATCAGTTCGAATACATCCATTCGTATCTATTGAAGTATTCACACCATCTTTAAAACTTCGATATGTAACAAGACTATTGTCGGTGCTCGACGGATAATAATTATATACTCGAAGATTATCGTATGGCGAAATATAATTTTTCTAGAAAATAAACAAAATTATTCGACGTAGATAGAGAACTAGAATTACCTTTAAAGTTGCATAGGACGCATTATCTAAATAATATATTTATAGAGAAATAAAATACAAGAAAACGAAAGAAAAAAATTACCCGATTGCGACAAAGTAGCTGATGAGTATGAAGATACAAATGGTCGTTTAATATCTTCATCTTCATATTTTTTATAGGTATTTGTTGTTGAAAAATTCGACGGAACTGGTTGAAATAAATCAATGGTATTTGCTTCGGTTTCATTTGTTCCTGTTGTTGATGAATTTTCACTTGTTGTAACAGTTGATTGACGACGTTTTATTATGAAAAATATCATTAGTATTATATTAATCGAAAGAATGATTAAACCAATGATAGCAATGATAATAAGTAGTGTAAAAGAAATTTTCGTTGAAGGTACTTCCGATAAATGAAATCTTAATGATGGCAAATAGTCCGATGTTGATATAACGATTTCATCAGTCCATTTACTTAGATGATGTGAATTATTCGAACGTATACTTATGTGATATTGACTTCCTAATTTTAAATCTTTTAATTCAAATGAATGTTTACCATACGGCATATGTTGATATGCATATTGACTCTCTGTTGAAAGACGAAAACGTATTTGAAATGTTTGTTGAGCGCCACCGTCGAAGCCTGGTGTCCAACTTATGAATAATGACGTATGCGACGTGTTCGTCACACGAATTTGACTAGGAAGATCAGGTATAGCTGAAAAGACAATGAAATTTGGACAAAATAATTCATTTTCGGAGCACAACTTACTGAGTCCAGTTAACAGTATTTCTATCATATCAATGCCGAGTTTATTTTCGACTCGACATTGATAGATACCATAATCAGATTTCGTAACATTAGTCACATAGAAAATAACATCGAATAGAAGATTAGAAGAAAACGAAGTTGAAGGGTTTCGTTCAGTAAGTATCGATTGATATTTAGACGATGGTGATAATACTTGATTGTCCTACGGGGAAAAAATCACAAATTTGTTCTTGAGCCTCATTAGGTTAATAGAAAATATGATAAGCGTAAAATCTATATCGGTCTATAGTTGCTATTCGAGGGTAATCAATCGTCAATGAAACAGCCTGTATTATCTATTTTAGCATTATAATCATAATGCTGATGACGTAGTTTTTGTGTTGTTTTTATTAATTTAAAATTAGGAGTCGATCATTGATTTATGCGTAGAATTTAAAACCTTCGTCAAGAAAATCTTTAGAATTATGCACATCGATAAGTAAATGTGTTTTGATTATCATTAGACGATAACCTGCTATTCTATTACTTGAGTTAATTCAACGAAAATTCTCATATATTCATACGTCAGTTTCTCTAACAAGGGAGCAGTCATCAATGATGCGTAGTTTATCCCATTATAATTAAAATATCCTGTATCATCAATAACGTTCCTATGCACATTAACAAACCAGAGAGGTAACAAGATTGTATCTATCTTGTTTCTTTTTCATTATAATAAACAAATGCATAACACACACAAAAAAAAACTCATTACGCAAATAGCAGACAAAGTTAGCTAAGCTGTGTTTGTTTTTATCTGTTGAACTAACCTTCATCCATATGACTGTTGGTTTAGGTACAGAAGATAAATGACAATGAAGTTCTGCTGTAAGAAAGCGATCAGAATCGGTAGCTGCTTTACTTCGACTTGGATCACTACGGTCGATTTCTGGTGCATCTAAATATAATAAAAAGAAAACTAAACAAGTTCAAACCAAAAAAAAAAGAAAAGAGAAATTTACATTGAACAACTAACGGCAATGTTGCATGGCTATTGCCAAACTGATTATCTATTTCACAAGCATATTGTCCTGCATCTTGCCGATGAATAGATTTTCGTATTAATGATACTTCATTTCTGTCAATTCGTTTTTCCCATTGTGCGTAAGACATTTCTTGATTATCTTTAAACCATCGTACTTTATTGAAATCAATTGGATTACCATCGATCACACAGATAAGTATGGCGGACGAACCAGGCATTAGTGCTTCGGTTACAGAATATCCTTGTGTTCGTGTTATAACAGGCCCATCTATTATAATCAAGACGATGTCAGATATGTTAGGAAGAAATTCTAAGTCTAGACGACTGTAGCACTCTATCTCGCACCTTACTATTATATTTATAGAAGATTCAGTACTCAGAAGAATCATTCGGATCCAGTGTTTTATTCAGATTTTTCACTCCGGGAGGGCAGACAAGAGTTTTTTTAAGGGGACGAACTACCATGAGTAATATCGAGTCTACCATACGGATGCGTTCGAAAGATCTGTGTTTTGCAAGTTATACAAAACTTAATTATTTATTTCATTTTTCTCGATAGGGCAAAATATCCATTGCCCTCCCGCTGGATAAAACACTGTTCGGATCCCTAGTGTTGGTATTATCGTTACTAAATAAGGCCCTCGCAAGTGTTGTGATTTAGTCAAGCCTACATAGAACGTTTAACGTCACATTAGCTTCTGTTTGTCCAATGGAATTTGTTGCTATACATCGATAAATTCCTAAATCATTTCTTTGAATATTCATTATGGATAATTGTCCTTGATTGATAAATATATTTAATGGATCATTCATTAATTGTCTACCCGACGGATGAAACCATGTATAGCTTATTGACATTGGATAACCGTTTGCTTCAAGTGTTATGTTAAACGGTTGATTTTCTTTCACCTCAATAGATCGATTAAATTCATGAAAATACGGTTTATCTAAAAGATAATTAATGGATAAAATAATTTTTCTCATCATCGAAAACGTACGATTAACATGAAGTATATAAGTAACTTGTTTAGTTTGAAATGAAATGTCGGCAGCGAATGCTGCTTTACATGTTAAAAGATTTTCATGAAGCGAAAGATCAATTCGAGGTAACTAAAAAAAGCAAAGACATTTAATCTAACAATAGAAATCTATTGAAAACAAACCGTAAACTTGATTGAATTAATGCCATTAATGTAAGATAATGATGTTATATATTGAATATCCGGATGTATTTTTCCATCATTTGATTGTCGAAATATTGTTAATTGTGCTTGTGGATTGGACAGTGAAGTGCGACATTCAAATTCATAATGTTTATCATCATCATCATCATCACCACTATGCATTGATAAATTTGCAAAGCGTTCATTTTCAATAATTGCTATGTCAATTGGAAGAACTATTTTATACGAAAAAAAAAAAGAAATCTATCTTTCAGTTAAATTCCTAAAGCTACTTACAGGTAATATTAAGTATAAACGAAGCAATGTGCCGAGGAAATTCTTCGACTTGTCCTTGACATGTCAATAATCGATTATTATCTGATGGTGATGCAATGAATTCTACACGACTTGAAACATATTTTTCATTGGTTTCAATTGTCGATTCCGAATGAAGTAATTGATCGCCTAAATAAACAATGGGTCAAAAGGGAATTTTATTGTATTTTTTGTCTCTTACCTTTATACCAAATAATTTTTCCAAGTGGATTTCCTCCGATAAGAATACATTCCACGGAGACTCTATCACCTGATTTTATTATTTTATCTTTTGTTAAGCCATACATTTCAATACTGAAGGCGTCATCTGAAATTATAATAGAACAAAAAACAAAGTATAAGAAAAACAAAACATGATTACGAACATATAACATTTAATTGTATTGAATCTGTAACAGTATGACCCGTATCAGGATTTGTTGCTTCACATGAAAGTAATTTATTATGATAGTGCCGTAATGATTTATCTAAGCCAATTGTTTTTGCTAATTGAATTATTTTACCAGCGAATTCACCTGATTCTTCTATTGGATCGATATCGGACGAAAGAATTTGTTCATCAATTTTCCAAACAACAGTAGGCCGAGGATTTGATGATGATGTTCGACATAGAAATCGTTGAGGAGTGCCTTCAACTAATGTTGTTACATTCATACTGTTTTGAAGAACATGCACAGATAATGGGCCGACTATTCAGAAGAAAAAATTAGGTTTTCCGCCGAAAAAAAACGCATCAATTCATCACTTACAAGCAACCTGTAAAGTAATATTTGTTTCTAATGTTTTTCTTAACGAATCAAGATATTCATTAGTAACATGACATGACAGTGTACTATTATTATCTGATGGTTTAACAAACAATGATATATTACTTTCCGTGAAATTTTCATCATGATGTATAATCGATGAATTATCAATTAAATACGATGGTTCATTTCCGTGATCGAGTCGATACCATGAAAGTGTACCTAATGGTTGACCACCGTAAGTTTGACATGCGAGACTTAGACTTGAACCGTTGACTAAACGAGACACCGATGAATAGCCATAAATAACAGGATTGGACGGTGGTAAACTAATTTGTACTTCGAAAAAAGTTCGAAGTTGATTGAGACTATCGGTTAATGTTTCATGTCGAACATCGCACATGAACCGTTTTTTATCGAGCAACAATGATGGATTAACCGTAAGAGTGCTGATAGTTGAAAAAAGATTATCTATGCAAGAAATGATCACACGGATAAGAACGTCAACACTCTATTTCTACTTTTCGAATCTTCTTTTTTTTTTAAATTTACCTTTAAGTAATGTTCTTGATATGCCAAGAAACTCGTGACCAGTTTCATTGATCCATTTAATTTGAGCCGCTGGCTTAGCACCATCAACTTGACAACTAATTTGATGAAATTTATCATCAAATCTCATTTTAATAATTGTAATTTCAGATGACGACGATTGATCATTGATTTGAACATGTTGCGGTCGTACAAGAGTTTTAACATGAGCAATTTGTTTAAGTGCTGGTGCATTATTATAGGGTGAAACTTCACAAGCAAACAATCCTTCGTCGTCGTGTTTTAATGATTGAATAAAAAAATTAAATTCTCCAAGATTTTCATCGCCTATAATTGACCACGTAGGAAATGCTGATAATTGTCGTTCGTAACCTATGGGAAGAAAATAAAACATTAGAAAAAGATCAATATTTTCTTATGTTTGAACATTATTCATATGACTAGAGAGTATTCTATCAGAAGGAGATAAAGTACAAATGTCAATCAACGCTTTTATTCCTATGATGATAACAATAGATAATTGCTCTTCATATTCATTGATAGACTCCACCCCCATTGTCTAACGAAAAGAAGAAGAAAAAACGTCGAGCTCTCATTAAGCATCAATAGTAAAGAGTTAAGTTGACCATCAATGAATTGTTTAAAAAAAGCAAAAGCTAATGGATATTCACCATGTACTTTTTATACTTGTTTCATTAGTATCCATATGTACACTTACCCAATGCAAGACCATCTTTAGTCCATTGAACATCACCATGAGGTGGAGTAATCACACATGGAATAGTTACATTCGAACCAATTAAGGCAGAAATATCATGCGGTTGAACTTGATAAAATTGACTTTGACTGTTTGATAGGTCTAAAATAAACAAATTTTTTTATAGATTTATTTTCTTTGTAATATTATTTATAAATACTTACATAAAATTGAATATAATATAAACACTTTTACGGATAGGCTTAGTGGCATTTCTAAAACAGACAACGGTCAGACATGCTTATAATCAAGATGGATTGAGTCTGCGTCTCCCTTTCTTTCTTATAAACATACAATTACATTCTATCCTATTCCAACTGACCATGCATATACTCACTTGACAAGGTTTCTTTATCATCAACAAAGGCATCGGAGCGTACAGGTGGAAACAAGTTTGCTCATAGTTTGTTCTAAAACAATTTTCTCCCAATAAGATTCCATGAAAATTATTGTAATTTAGTCCTTCATGCCTATTGAATGCTTATTTGCCTATTGCATATGCAGATAGAAAAAGATTTTATGCCATCATTCGATTTTAAGTCAACAGTAATATTAAAACAAAACGAAATGATATTTAAAAATCATTGACTTACCGCGTTCTATATATTCATGTAGTATAATTCGATAGTCAAGCGTCGTCTGTCTACAGTACAATAACGATAGGGAATCATGGTCGTAATAATAATGCACATCTCCTTTCTTTCTTGTCGAGTGTGTTCATCATCAATTGTTTCTTTCTCTCTCTCTCTCTCTCTCTCTCTCATTCTCTCGCTCGCTCGCTCGTCTATCTTATTGATGTAAGAGAGCCAAGTACATAGATCGTATATGAACAACATGCACGACTATCAGTTGAAAATGAAGACTAGGGATTTATTTTTTATTTTAAACTCAATGGATGAAAATTTTTATGAATGTGAACTTGACTAATCAATGTTGCTTTTAGACAGAAAATGAGAAACTCAGTAGGTAATGTCTGCCACTATGGTTAATTCGGTCAATGCACTTGAAAGATATTATCACAGTATGTCATAAAAAAATAAAGCATCATCGCATATCTATTTTTGATTTCTATCAATGTCTTATATAAATATATGAGTCTATCAGACAAATGCTATATGTCAGTTGTACATATAGTCTTATAACGATTCGCCCTTCCATGTCATTCTAGACTTTATCCTTACATTTTGATTGCACTGAAAAAGACAATAATCAACTCATCAATCTATTTATTTTGATACATAACTTCGCTAGTCGTCTAGTTCTACATATTAAATAAAAGTCTAAGACGCATAAACAATTCCATTGAGAACTGCGCAAGAACATTTCCTTTATGAAGAAAAAAATGAGCCATCGTCTTGACAAACTGAACGGACATTAACTTTTTTTTTTAACATCGTACTATTATAGACTCGTTGTTGAGAATGCTACATTTAAACAACTGACTATCGCCTTGGGGATCGATCATATATAATAATACGTCGGAAGTTATTTTTTCGTTGGCTCTCCATTGAGGAAATCGTTACTGAAAAGCTCTCGTATCGCAACTTGTCTACTATCAATACATAAAAATAACTCCTTGACCTATGCCTTTTTTTTATATCGATACAACTTACGCAATATACACGTTATTTATAATTAGCTCTATGTTGTGTATGTATGCCAGCGTTTGTTTTATAAAAACATAATTGTTATTCTTATCTATTTTCTTCTTCCTTGCCAATTTAATTTTCTGTTTTTTTGCGATTTCTACATACTATTACTTTCACTAAAGATCAATTGTCTCTAATAGCAGTTGTTGTTATTTTGATTGTCATAGACTCAAAGTTTTCATCACAACAGAGAGAAAAGTAGCTACGCATATGTCATGCTTGTCAATCGTATTACCTCCGATTGAATATCTTCAAAAGAAGTTATCCGTTAATCTTAATTGAAATGAATGTGTGAAATCTACACACACTTCAACATGTTCATTGATTTCTTCTTGCGGGAAAGTAGAGCACTAAAAAGACATTTTTTATGTATTATTAAACATTAAATTATACGCACGATTACAACAACAACAAATATGAATGAGATTGAAACAACTAATTCTTAATCAGTAAAGTGGAAAAAAATTGTTTCCCTATCATAAAATTTTCTTATATAATCATATGTGACAAACTTTCAAATATATAAATATATCTGTTCTTATAAACAATTGTTTCTTGACAGGTTTTACTTTCTCCTTCACCTACTCAATCTAGATGACATACCCGTCATTTCTTTTTCTTTTTTTGTACATATGCCTGCTAGCGGTCATCACGCTATTCATCGTCATCATCATTTCTTTTACATTATCAAATGAGGAAAGAAAATGAATAAGCTCACGAATATACATTTCTAGATTAGATCATTTGCATATGACTCATTATTTTTGTCAAACTATTGTTTCTTGTATTGAATGTGTTATGATCAGTAGGTCATTAAAGTGATGAATATGATTGTTCAATCGATAAAGAAGTTTTAATTATCAACAGAAGTCGATTAAATAGAATTAATGAGCTGAACAATGAATATGTCTACCTCTGTTTTTTTTTCTTTTCAATAAAGAAAGGTGGTACTTAACTTCATTTATTTTATCTGAATTGTTTTTATCAAGAGTCATGATTTTATTTTCAAATAAATAAACAACCAATTTAGAGAATAGACACGAGTGAACTCCTTGTTCTAGCAAGTGCAATGCCGTTGATTGACTGCAACAATCAATGTCGTACAACTCGTATCTACCTAGAAAATGATTATTCACAATGAATCAACGCGAATATGTTCTGCTGGTTTTTTATTTAAATGAAAGATAAAAATTGAATCATTATCAAATGATCATAATTTATTCTTTGAGAAAATCGAAAACTCATCTATTAATTTAAGCCAACCCGGATTGATGGATATGGCTCTCTGTATTTTCACCGTACACATGCCGAATCTTAATTATCACAGATCCCAATGGCCTAGAAGCCTTGAAAATTATTCCCAGACAAGATGATTCGAAGCATTTTTTTCGACGAGATTCTTGAGATAGTTGCTCTAGCTTTTGTTGTTCGAACTATAGTATTTGACGAAAGATAGTTTCTTTGGGATGTGGGTGTACACATTGAGTTCACCTACACTCATATCCTCGTGTATGTAATTGTTGAATTTGATAGTTAAATTACTACGGTACTTTTACAAATTCACTCATGTGCAGCTAAAAACTTTAAGCAATGTATTTTATTATAAATTTTCAAAATCAAAAAATTCCTACAAAGAAAAATATTAACTGGATAGATTGATGTTCATTGTCATTATTAATATTCAATTTTATATTAATTTTTTTTGTCGAATCATTGTATTACAATTAGGACAGTAATGAGTTACATCCTAAGAAATAAAATTCAAATATTTTATATATGAGATTTAATTTTCAATGTTATCATACTTTACAACTATCCATAAAAAACGGTACAAGACAACAACCAAATACACATCCAATAAGAAAAAGGGTGCTTGCACAAAGCCATGGAACTAAACCATTTGATTTTTCAACTCTTGTAACAATTGATTGACGACAATAAGGACATATGCAAGCTAGAGAATATTTACCAGCTGGCGCTGTTGGTGTTGTAATAGGTAACGGCTGTTGAACAGGATTAAAAGAAGGTGGCTTTTCTTGATAGTTTCCTTTGTCTATATTAGAGAATTAATTTCGCAAAGAAAAAACTCCGGAAGAATACTTACAATCATTTGATGACATATTGATTATTTGTACGAAAGTGAAGAAATAAATGAACTGTCTTTTTATCTAACAGCTATTCTAATAGAAACCTACTGGCGCAAAAAAGTGTACGAAATATATAGTTGTAAGCATGCTTATATTATCATCGTTATCAAGGGCATAATTAAATAGTATAGTCATATATTTGTTCTACAACAATAGAATCAAATATAGTAAAATCAACTCTATTTGATATGTCCACATTAATGCGACATAAAATCAATAGACTTCTTTTGTTGCATATGTCCTTATTTAAAAATAGGGTAGAAGGTTAGTTTAAACTTTTTTTTACAAGACTGCCATGCTGCTTTCTATAGTATAAAGTATAAAATTGGAAAGAGTTCACCTTTTTAGCATCATAAAGCTGTTCAGCGCAGCCCCGTTAGAGCTAAAACGTGGAACTCACATATTTCGGTCAGTTAGATACTGATCAAATAGAAGTTTTATTTTTTCAGTGCAGTGAGATTATATTTTGTTCAAAAATAAGATAATAAAACCTATTTAATATTTGAAGTTTATTGAATATATCAATAGGAAATATTACTAGAGAGAACGTATAAAAAACTTTTGGTTTAGAATATGTCAGTATGCCGAAGTGTTTAGTGGTTTCATTGAGAAATATTGTGAATGATAATAGTTTGAACAGTATTTAGGATATAGTTATCAATATTGTTGAGAAATTTATATTTTTTCGTATCACCAGGTGAGAAATGGATACATTTTTTTCATACGCAAAAATTTGATAAAAGCTTCCCAGTGGATGGAAAAGTTGCGAATTGTAAATACATTAAAGTGGATTCAAGCTCTAGATTAAGGTATTTGTGTGAGAAAAAAGATTAAAATCTTCATCTGTTTGTTGTAGGTGGTAGAAATAACGAATGTAATAGCAGCATAAACTAGTTGGTAACGTCTGTAATAATAAAGATATATAATACTGTTGTAACTATGGACTATAATAATAGAAGCGACAGATTTTGATGATTAATTAGAGACTAAATTATAATTATAATGATTTCTAATTAGTGAAACTAGGTTTTATTCCTGATATGAGTAGTGGTGAACATAGGCAATCGGCCTGTACCAAAAACGTTTCTAATTAGTGCTTATAAGTGTTCGTTTTTTTATGTTTTATGTCTGTAATGGAGAGGGGGAGGGGTGGGTGGGGTACAGGGGAGCCGCAAAAACCTAACAATTCAACTTACACTGACTATTTTCTGCGAAAGTATATGTGAGTTCCGCAAAATTAAAATATATGCACCGCAAGTAGAGTTTTTTTTGTGAGTGGCCAGGTCGAACATTCCGGCCACCGGATTCCGTAGTATACTTCAGGAAATATGCGGGACAGTCACCGTATCCTGCAGGAAAACACGGGAAATCGCTGGAACATGGAAGCAGTATTCCGGTCAACCAACCGAAGCCGGCCGTTTCCAGGCCGCACTGTAAAAAAATTCGTAGAATAATAAACCCAAAAAGGGTTGATGAAAGTGTAACGTATAATAAACCCTTTTTACCGTATTTAAAACTATCCTAAACCCTTTAATTAACCCTTTTAAATACGTTTTCTAGTGAGACAAGCATCTAAAGGTTATTTTAAAAAACGTATTTTAGATGTTACACAATCATTATTTTGCTATTATTCCAATTCAGTTTGCGTTTCAGATCGTATATATATATATATATATATATACTTTCATAGATTTATAATTAATTAAGTGATGTACTTACTGTTGTCACCTGGGTTCGAACATATGACATAATCCATGATTGTCTAACTTGTTATTCATTCGATCAGATTTGCGATCAAGTTGCATAGTATGAAATGTACTCTTAAATTAAACGATGTTCTTCTGAATAGGCGCTTCCTATTTTGATGAAGAAATCGGAATAATAGATTTCTGTACTGCTTATTTATTTGAAATTGAATGATATTTTTAAAATATTATTAAAATAGATCACTTAAATTTTACAGTTCATATTACAGATATATCGATTTTTAAAAGTATATTATATATTTAATAAATTATTTAATTGATAGGAATTCCTTGAAATAAATTTTAAATAATTTTTAGAATTTTCTCTGAGTTTTTTTCTTTAGGGACTGAAAAATAACGCTTAGAAATGTCTAAATTTTAAAAGAAAAATACTATGAAAGATTTAGTATTCTGATTTTTTTTAGAACTCCTCTATTTTCGAAAACTTTATATCGATTGATAGTATTCTTCTCGATCGAAATATGTTTGTTTTTGGAAATAACCACCGTAGCAAAATATTTCAAGTGATAGCGAGAGAACGCTTTGTTGAAAAGTTAGAATAATTAACTCTTGATCGTGAATAATAAACGCTTTTGCATGAAAGAGTAGAACAATTAACCCTTAGTTACGCAAGGCAAAACGTTTTTTTTTTGTGAAAAGACACAGGTATGAACCTTTCATTGTAGAATAAAAAACCCTTTCCATAAAATTATAACCATAAACCCATAACTGTAGAGGGTCTGGGTGTGGGTGTGAATATTGTGACGAACATAGTGTCGCTTATGCCCGTCGGCATGATGGTGAATTGTGTCATCTGCACATCTCTAGTCATGCATTTCCTTTAGTTGCATTTCACTATATATGAGAGAATGATCACGCTTGGGCGGATATAGACTAAGAGGGAACGGTCACGCAATAGACAATGAGAGTTCACAAGGTCAATGCGCGAACATAAGGATACAGCGAAGAGGATAATGTACATGAAGTGAGTCGTAACGTTAAAAACCGTTACAATTATGGGTGCATATATAATTTATTTAATGGCACCCACAGCCTCACACTAATGACTATCGATATCAATTGACCTGATTCTTATTTGGTATAATCGTCCTAAAGAAAACGAGAGAATCGGTAGATTCGAAGAACAAAAAGCTATTTCAAGGTGTTGATCAATGAATGAGACTTGTACGTTAGGGGGAAAAGACAGTCTCTATTCTATGATCGATATAGGCATTATTAAGTATCGATGTGAAGCCACCACAGCACCACCCGCCAGCACGATCGTGATAGCGATTTCATTGGTCCGCCAAAACCAACGAATCAAATTTTACGATAGTGGGCGCCTCTTGATGGTGCGCACTAATCTACATGCGTGCATTTCCAACGAAACACAAACGACCTATCCAGTACAGTGCTATTTCTCTGCCAGTCTACGAAGGAAGAGGAAGAAAACGCCCGAAAAGTGCAAAGTCTTCCTACGACAAGTGGTATAACCACCCCTGACCCTCCCCTTTCGTTTTCTGGGGATTGAATGTCACATCGATCGATGCAGCTTGACCAGGGCTATCCACTGCACTTCCAGTTCTCTCCCGGAAAACAAACCATGGGCGAGAAAATGCCACAATACTGTAAAATCTCGCTAAGGGAGCTGCTGTTAGCCAGAGATGGGCAAGTCAAGTCATTTTTGACTTAAAACCAGTCAAGTCAAGTCAT